TCCAAATCCTCAAGAAATGCGATTCCGTCCGTAGATTCCGTAGATAACTGAAGACCATCTTGGGATATGTGGACTCCATTGAGTTTAACTTTCCATCTGTACATCTTTCTATCTATCCATCTATCCATCAATCCATCGAGCACAGGGAACCTGCATATATCTTTTGAAGCAGTGCAGCAGTAGTGCAGCAGTGCCCATGTCGTTCCTCGCTGCGGCCGGCGGCGATGCCGGCGCTCCGCGCGCCGTGGAACGATGGCCCTACCGATTCTTTGTGTACTCTGCTGCTGCCACACTGGCGCTGGGAGTGGAGATCACCTACACCAGAATCATTGGCTCATTTTTTAAAACCACCAATGAGGGATTTACCATGAGTAAATGTCAATATATATATATATATAATAATATACATACATATATATATATACACATATTTGGATGCAAGATGATGCAATCATTATTTGTGAGGATTACCCACCGATCAACCGAGGTTACTTCACAAGAAAGGGAGATAGAACCAGCCCCCAATTTACCCCATGTTGCACTGCGGGTAGTAAAGAGCCCCCAAAAGGGGTTGACCATGTTACACAAAGCCATGTAACAAGATGTAACAAGCAGAGATATGTCGATACACCAAGGGTTATGGATAAGAAGTCAAGAAACATAGGCCCAAAGTTATTTTGTTTCTTGTCATCACGCACATGGATCGATGGATCGATGGATCGATGGATGGATGGATGGATGGATGGATGGATCGATGGATGGATGGATGGATGGATAATTGGATTGGATTGGATTTTGATTGGATTGGATTTTGATTGGATTAGATACAGATAGATAGAATCTGGCTTTCTGCTTTCCTAACTATGTGCCCACACCGCCAGAATTACCATGTACTCCTTGGTTCCGTTCTTTGGTTATAATTTATATGATAATTATACATAGATTTAGCATTACCCACTTCACTTTGTCCCCATGTACTTTCTTAGTGTTCCCCGTGTTCCCCCCAAATTGTCGGGTGTTGACCGGCCACATCGAGTCGTTCACCGTCCTTCACCAAGGATTGGTGCCTAAGATGCCACAACTCTATGCTGCCTTGATTCGTGCAGCAGTCTGGGATTGTATCTTCGTAGGCGTCTTTGTAGCGCAACTGGTGGACCTGGCAAACGTGCCCTTTCTGAAAGGGATCGATAGTGGACACTACCTGCCTTGTGTTCCTTGGTTCCGTTGATGTTGCACTAATGGCAGGAAGTTTTGTTTTGGGGGGGATGCAATGTGGCGGATTCCTGGATTTTGCTCAGGATGTTTCTGGGTTCTTTTCAAAAGGTTAACGGAAAAAACTTAGCCTTGATTCCCGGCAGAGCGAGGTTGTCTTGCTGTATCATGCCATTGCCTTTACCTTTTGTGGAGCATATGACTTGCTGACGCAACAGGGTCACTTGCCCGCTTAATTGCTCCAGGCCAATCTTTTCGTTTCCTGTCCCAAAGTCAATTGAATGGGAGTTGAAATGCGAAACCCAAGAAGGGTACATACAAAGAACTTGAACATATGGGGATGGGTCAAAACCCTGGTACCTAGTGAACCCCAAAATAGCTGGTAAATGGATGTTCATCCCACTAAAAATGTATCTATAGGTATTGACCCATACCCATATAATTGCATGACCTTAATATTCCTCCACCAATCCTTAACCAACAAACCTTTACAAACTATGTTTCTCCCTTTCTCTTCGACTTTTTGGAAGGCAGTGGCCGCTCCCGGACGTTGCATCGAAGTTTGGTGTGTCGCCGCGTGCTGCTGGAACTAGCTGGGGGGAAGTCTGGCACCAAACTCTTCCTGGGACGGATCTGTTTCATCGTCAGTGGAGCTGCGATGTGGCTGGCCCTACATGTGCTCCTACTGATTGATGACGATACCACGGTGCTGATGTTTCTTGCTTCGAAACTGTGTGCTGCCATTGCCCTCTCCAACAACATCATCTTTGTTTCACAAAATGAAGCCCCTCAAAGCTCTCTTAGAAATAAGCAATCCAATTCAATCCAGGTTATTCATCGTGTTGTCCTTCGTGGCCTATTCGGCCGCAGGGTTAGCAGCCCTGGAGCCGCGCAGAAGTTTACCCGGGCAGCTGGTACAGTGGCTCTGCACGGGCTGGGGCTCTAGGGAAGCCCTGCTGCAGGGACCCCTGAAGATCTTGGGAGCCTTGTTGATGCTACCTTTCACAGCTTCTGCCACTTGTAGAGTGTGTGGAGTCTGTTTTGTTTTGTTGTTTTTTTGGGATGCTTGCGAAAATCGAGGTTGAGTGGTTGAACTAGCCATTCTTTTGTTTGGACATCATTGTTTGCTTAGATCAGTGTTGCAGGTGATTGCCGCGCAAGTGTGGCTTCGCACCATCAGTTTCATCGTGTGGCTGGCTGTGGCCTGTCCCTGCTGTCGCCTGCAGATCGCCGACAACGTCTTCGATGCCTTTGAACAGGAGCTGGCGGTGCCATTGCTGCAGTGCTCCTTTCTGGCCTTTGCCTGTACACTGGGAGGCATGGTGCTGGTGCCCTGCCATGGGAAAAACGCCGTTCTATTGAAGTTTGATGTTTAAAATTGGGAGCTGAATGAATATTGGTGGCATCTTTTGATCAGCCATCCTTTTGGGGTGCAACTTTGAGGTTTCGTCAGTTTCGGAAGTTTCGCTTTTGCTTTCGGTCCCTTTCATCCTGTGCAGTTCCGTTATCACTTGAGCAACTATGTTTTAATCAACGGTTACCAAGCGTAGTGGACAAATCTAATTGGTAAACAACAATTATCACAAATACTTATAGGGAAGCCTGTTTGATAGGGAAAGCCATTACACATAGATTATTTTGCCAGTACTTCGTCTCATCTCCTTGCATTGTATTGACAGCATTACTCCTTTCAGTTGCTGCTAGTTACTAGTTGCAGCCCAACACACCTCTTGGTAAACTAGCCATCCATTGGAGTACCGGAGAAGGTTTAGTCCTCAAAACGACACAGTGCCTTCGTGGTTTTGAGACAAAAAATGCGACTACCAAAGCAGTCCTGGTTGTCGGTTGCACTCCCATAAATTTATCATCGTCTGCGGATATATATATATATTCTTCATTCTTGGGAGTTCCATTCCCCCTCATCTGCCCCACAAAACGACCTCTTTGCATTTCGTCCTAAGGACTCGGAACTGTCCGGCATGCAGCGCATGGCTGTGAGCATCGTGGCGGCCTACTACACTGCCATGCTACTGATGTGGACGGCCCCAGCAGTACTGCAGGCGAAGGTCGCTGCGGAAGAACGTGGCTTGGCCGTTGCAAGCTGAGGTGAAGACTTGGGGAGTCGATCTGGAAGAAAGGAGAGAAGCCACACCACTAACCTGAGGCTTCTGTTTTTCTGGGCTAAGAATACCAAACAGAAGCATACATTTTCGATTTCCATTAAATGAGATCCGGAAAAATACCATTTCCAATAGCCACAACAGTCGACCCACCAAAAAATGGCTATAGTTGAAAATTCTGGGCACATCATCTCTCATCACCGAGGCGCCAGCAGCTGGGACGAGGGTAGCGCCTCGCAACCGCTCACCGTGCCGGAGGAAGGTGTGGAGTTAGAAGAACTTCGCAGCAGCTGTGAGGAGTGGATCCCACAGATCCCATTGATCCAGTTCCAAGTTTGGAACAGAAACAGTCTGAAACAGTGACCATACAGTGACCATTTTGGAGTGGCCATTCTTTAATGGACAAAATGAGGAAACGGGTGGAACAAGTCATGTGAAATCTTTTTGGATCATTGGGGACTGGTCAAAAGCCAAAGTAGCTCTTTGTTTATCTTTGTTTGACTATTGGGGATTGGGAAGAGGCCGATCCTTTAAACCATCTTTTTGGGGTGGGGATGGGTCAAAGATGTTGAAATCCACCTTCAAAGCTGGGATATGGTTCTGACATCCTTTCTTACCCTCAAAGCCAATTGCCCAAGAGTTGTTGTCTGACATTTGCACTAGAGTTCCTTCAACCCGCTGTTTGACATCCTTTATGATGCCATTCTGGTGGCAATCATTTAAAGATTTTCTCCAACATTGATCCAGAAAAAACGCCACCATGAAGCCACCAGAACAAAATCCATTCAACCACCATGAAACTCCGTAAAAAACATTCCCAAAATCCACCAATAAAACCCATATCAAATCACCATTTCTATGCATTTGTCCAGTTCAAATCAGCTTTTCCATGCTTTTCCCACTTTTTTTCTCACCTTTTTCCCTCACCAACCGCCACCATCCACCGTCCCTGGTCGCAGGAGCTGAAGGCGTTGCTCCAGCGCGAGCGCCACGACCACGCGGTGGAGCTGGGGCAACTCATCGAGCGCCTGCGGGACCAGGAGCGGCGGAGACCTGGACTTCCGATGCTGGGAGCGATGGGATGGGGATGGGGAGACTGGACTGTAGTCACTGTAGTATATAGATGGGTAATTCATCATGGAATCATGCCCCATTCATCATTCATTCGTTCATCATTCCCCAATTGCACCAATGTAATATTTTTTGGGAGATGTAATACTGATGGATGTGGATATAGATGGATATAGACATGAAAACTATATACTTTCCACTATTTATCTATGGGATGGGGATGGGACTTAAAGGGACTTCAATGAGGCCTCCGGACTATATAACCCAAAAGTCAACAAAAGATGCCAGAGAGTGGGAATGGGAAGATTCAATCCATATTTAAGTGTATTTTTATGGGTTCTGAAGTCAGAAACTGGGGCAGTTTGACCAAGAAATCTGGGTTAAGCAAGTGGGAATATTTTCATAAAAGGAACAGTCGGGGAAAAAGGGGGCGATTGGTCGGTGATTCACCCATGAGTTGGAGATGGTGAAACCACCCAAAGGGAAGGAACCGACTCAAGCTTCCTTTTCGGCCTCAGTTTCAAGCATGTTTGCAATTCAAAGCGGATGGTCACCTTAGATGATGGGGCAATCGACCAACGGGGGGGTGAGAACCGACTGAGCACAGGCCAGGTGACTATGTTGATGGGGCTAATTATTATGAAATTGATGGTTGCTGATTGGGGATCATATTTGGTACTTCAATCTGTACAGAGTCTTGGTGATTCATCACTGTGGATGGTCAACACATCACCCCACTGCAGCCGCTGAAAAACTGCACCTCGCTCAGGAACTCGGATCAGCGGCTGCGTCATGCGGCAGTTCAGGTGGATCCAATGCACTGGTTACAGGACGCCATGGTGCAGGTGGAGTGCGGGTGGCCTTCCCAAGCTTCGCAAGCTTCGCAAGCTTCGCATGCAGCGGTTCAGGTTGATCCGGTCCCGGTTGACCCGGCTGGTCCTGGGGAGGACCCCGAAGCACAGGAGCCCACGGAGGCCATGGAGGCCACGGAGGCCGCGGAGGCCGCAGAGGCCACGGAGGCCACAGAGGCCGCGGAGGCCGCAGAGGCCACGGAGGCCGCAGAGGCTGCGGAGGCCGCGCCGGAGCCGAGACCAGAGGATGGCGAGGATGGCGAGGATGTCACACCAGGGCACTCGTCACAGGAGCCAAAACAACCTGCAGATCAAGAGCCGGCAGAATTCTCACATGAGGCTGGCGTGGAGGTTGGGATTGGCAAATGTGTTCAGCAACTTTTTGTCGAAAAAAACATGAACTAAGGGGTTGCAAGTGCACATTGTTTGATTTTGGTGGTTTTAAAAAAGCTCATAAATAGCAGGTTTGCACTACGCGTAGGAACAGTTTACTTTTTAAACTTTTACATGAAGTTTCGAAGAAAAACTCTGAGTTACGGGTGAACTCTAGCTCACACTTCACATAATTGCTTCACCTAATCACCGCTTAACATCATCTTACACCATTACCACTTTTTGCCCGTAGATGTGGTCTTGAACTGCTGAATCAAGAAAGTTGCTTTTGTGTTTCAACCGCTTTTCCATGCGCGGTCAACTGTTCGATTCTTTTCTTTAAATTCCAATTCTGCCCTGGATGCCCAAAGTTTTCAGGCTGGAACAATTTAACAAGAAACCCAATGAATGCAATGTGCCACAGCAGCTCACTGAAAAAGTGAAAGGGCCCTGCATACCAACCGGCACAGTACATGTGTCTATGACAGAGGATTGGCAGCAAAAATGCCAAATAATGAAGGGGTAAAAAAGAAAGGTAAATGGAATGATGGGTTAGTTCGTCGAATTCTTCCGTTGTATGCAAACTTGTTTGCGATATAGAAACAACAAAGAAGCAAGTAGAGGTGAGAAAGGGAAACAACAGAGACAAGAGAAGAGAGGAAAGAGAAGAGAAGAGAGAAAATCAGAGAAGTGACAAGAGAAAAAAGAGGGGCCAGAGACGAAAAAAAACTTGGACAAAAGAGAGCCCACGTCCTGGAGGCAAATCTTTGTTTCTCATTGACGATATTGACGCACACGCACACACACACATTGTCTTGGTTGTCATGCAGTGTGGGCGCAGTCGAGCCTGTCAGGATGGAGATGGGCCTGCCAATGACGCACCGGAATAGACGAAAATTGGTGCTTTCAAGGCTTTCGTGCATTTCTGGAGGTATACATTCTGGTGCAGCGAGGAAGACAAGGAGGTGACTTCAACGAACCGCTGACGTCAGTTGTCTCAAACTTGGGCACCTGTGGGTTTGTGGGCCCAAATTGTTGGTTTCCAGGTGAAGATTCTGGCAGTGTGGATTTGGTTGTAGTCGTTTCCCAACTATTTGTGCCCACAGATCTTGTGAAATTTCATATTTTCAAATCGAAAGTGAAAAAAGATCTGGTCCTAGAAATGGCTTTCCGGGAGGTAGCTGAAATCCTCATTTTTCAAACAGGAAAACCAGTAGAACAGACATCCACAGCCACATAACCCGCCAAGGACCTGGATCGCCACCGCCATGGGCCATGGTCCCGGTCCCGGAGAAGCCGAGGTGATGATGACCAATTCGTGGTGGAAAAATAGAGATGCAGGGCCTGCAGGGTCCGTTCTCCTCAAGAAAGCAACCATTTGGGGTTTGCCAAATCCCAAAATGTGGATTGAACATGATTGAACGGTCGCAAAAACCCAAACGACATTTTCAGTAGCCATTGACTCCCAAACAGTTCGGAAATGCAATGGAGGTTTGAAGCGACAACAACCTACAATGGGTCAAAGTTCAGGGCTCTGGGAACCACTGATGGACAGGTCGCTCTTAGCAGGAAACCATCACAGTTGTTGGGTATCCAATTTGGTACCCATAGATCGGCCATTGATAGCCCCTCCCGAAATGGAATCTGACAAAACCACCAGTGAACATGGATGTATGTGACCAAAAAAAATGCCAGAATCACCAGTTTCAATATACATTATATATATATATATGTAATAATAATATACTGTATATGTTGATGGAACATGATGGAACATCTACATTCATTGGTGATTCCAGCCTTCAGAAGAGACTTGCACAGGTGCTCACGGACAGGATCTGAAAGCGGCACCAAACATGTGCCCCAAAGAGTGAAATGTGCAGGATCTCTTTATGGTTCTGGGCACGGACGGCGTGTTCGATGTGCTCAGCAACCAGGTCCCTTTCACGGCTGCCCGGTGGGTTGAAGCTGGAGTTGTTCAGCAAGGTGAATAGGGAAATGGGTATGGGTCAATACCTATAGATACATTTTTAGTGGGATGAACATCCATTTACCAGCTATTTTGATGTTCACCAGGGGTACAAGGTTTTGACACACTGCCAAATGATCAACCGTGGGACTTGAGGTATCCTATTGTGTTTTTTCAGACAAACCCACATGGACAGCTGTCAGGAAGTGATTGACTTGGCCATGCGGCCAGGGGAGCCCAGGGAGACGAGGGTGGCAGTTGGGGTTGCTGAGAAAAGGGGAGAATCTCCAAGAAAAGAGGTATTCTATAGTATTATATATATATACACAGAGAATGTCATATAGACTATAGACAATCAAATATAACCACATATAGTCACAAAAGAAACAGAATCACACAATATTTGGACAGATGTTTGGCATAACCAAGACTACAGCCAATGATCACCAGTTTGAGATAGAACCAACAGCAATGGGCATGAGCCAAGCGCAAGGGATTGGTGGTGATGATGATAATACCAACTGCCAGTAAAACAAAGATATTTGCCAACCCAACCTTGGGAACATCAAGAATTGACATGCTATCAACAGAATAAATTGGGCACTTCTTGGTATTTTTTTCAGATTTCTGAATGGAGTTTTCTGCGAGTTTCCTGCTTCACATAGCTGGGAAGAGCCGAAAAGCCATGAGGCACTGGCGAGAGCCAGAAGAAGCTGCCAAGAACATTGTGCGATCCGCCTACAAACGTCCGGAAGCTGAGTTGCTTTTGTCTTTATCAAGGGTTCAACTCTTTAACCTAATGAAAAACGGGATTTCATCCAGCTGCAAATCTAGTCTGGTGACGATTTTTCCCTCACTTACTGTAGATTTTGCTTTTTCCCTTAAAGCTCAAGATGGAAAGGAATATCAGACAAGGATTGTATTGCTACAAGCAGCACTTTCTTTTTTTTTGCGTTGTTTTCATGATTGAACAGGAAGGAATGAACCAACCTGTATTCCGGGGTAGACTCCATATATTTGGGTGTACCATGTCAGATGGAATATTGCCAGTCATCCACAATTTGATACTCGGGTCTTCGGGCACCCAAGGAAAACTCAGCATCGAAAAATTGTGTTTGGTCAGCTGGCAAAGTCTCCCACACACTGAAAAACACATTACATCTGCAATGGAATTGATTTTTTTTTGGTTCTTCATGCCCCATGATTATTCCCCGCCACAAGGACAATTCCAAGTCGTGGGTGGATTTCTACCCTAGCTCAATAGCTCAATTGGCTTTGGGGAACAGGATTAAGTTCACAGACTTGGGATTCAAACCACGGTTTTTGTCGCTGGGAAACGCGCCAAGTCGCTGCTGTCCTGCTGTTCGTTGTTGCACATGGTTCAAGTCGGTTCAAGTCTCTGCCGCACTTCGAACGCTTTGTGAACAGCTTAGTGCGCAGTCTTTGTGGCCCCAACTGTCCATTAATCTGAGCAGTTGCAGCCTGGGCAAGCTACAGATAGCGACTTAGGATTTTGAGGGTTTGTTGTTGGACACTTTCTCACCAGGGATCCACAAGCCAACTTTTTCGAGGCGGTAACTACTCTTGATGGTTTCTCCCAAGTCCTTTGGAAGGGGAGGGAGCTTGATTTTGTTCCGTCTTCGAACCGGGCAGGCGGTAGCGAGGACAACCTGACGGTGATGGTGGTTCAATTTGGTGGGAAGCACCAGCTGACAGCACCTGACGTTGTGGGATGGGAGATTTACTTGGGTCAACTTCCCTCCTTAGAAGGTCAAAGGAAGCCCCCTAGATCTGCAGAAAAAGAGGGGGAAGTTCCCGGAAAAATCTCTTTGAACCCAAGCTTGTGTTTTGTTTGGCAGTGCCAAAGACAATACTTTGGACTTGCAGTTTTGCGAGAAATGAAGCAGGTTTTGAAGAATTACTCTACAAGAGTCAGTCAAGATAGAGTGGAAATAACATGGAAAAGCGATGTGGGACGTGGTTCCTCCAAAGAAAGCAGCTAGGTAGATAGTAGATAGCCAAGTTGGAACAGTCATTGGCGCTGCTTTCTTTCCTTTCAAATGTGAGCCACAGAGGGCATGGTCCGCAATGACCCGAGCTGTAAGCAAACCGCATCCCCAAATCCACTTTGTCTCCCAGACCCACATGCCACATGTCTCTGATGATCATAATTCATAATACGCATTTCTGCCATACACATTCACTTGAAATTCAGCATACTACATGTTGGTACAGCTATCGGCTTTTGACATTTTGGTACGTGTTTGCTCGTGGCTAGTTTCACAGGTTCAACAGACCCGTGGCCTGCCCGCCCACGCCCACAGGTTGGGCTGACAAGAGTGCTGCCAAGTACACGAGCAAGACAGGCCCGCACCGTGGCACAGGCGCACAGTTGTGCCGGCGCTAGGTCCGCTAGGTCCTGGCCTCCTGGCAACCGGTAACCCCAAGGTAACAGGTAGTCCCTGCGGTTTCAAGTTCTGCCTGGGTCCTTTTGCTTGTAGAAGTTGGCCTCATATACACCTAGGACCTAGGATCACCTAGGATCACCTAGGGTTTTGGGATGTTTTGGGTTTGGTTTCAAGCAAGGCTCCTTTTTGAGCCATGACGAGTCCCCATGCATTGGCTGGCACATCAGCCGCAGCGGCTGCGATACCATGTGATACCTGCGCTGGGGACTCTATCAAGTTGAATCCAGGTGGTTCACTAATCCAGGTGGTTCACCAACTCCCACGGAGAATTGGTACATCGAAACTTAGTCACTTGGATCTGCTAGGACAGAGATTCTGACAGAGATTATGGGTGCCCAGAAAAACTTGACCTGTACAGAGCCGTTTTCGTCCCTTTTTGGGGAGCTGACGTTTCACAGCGTGGGTTGGCTGTGGTGAGGGCACTTGATAGAATTTCAGCACAAGTCATTGGATTGGATTGGCATCGGCATCACTATGGTCATCACCAGTAGACATCATTATATAATATTATTGTGTTGAATCATTTCAACTTGGGTATCAATAGATGTTCGCCTGTCACCAGCTGTCCGTTACTTAGGCCGTGTACCGCCAGACGTCACAATCATGCATCCGTCTATGCTATTACCTGTCATACCTGGTTGTAAGTTCTCTATTGAAACCATTTCGTGGGGTCCCAAACTGTTTGTAAGATGCTTAGACAGATCCTTTTCGTAGACAGGTTTGCAAGGCAGCTTATGAGCACTGAGTGCGTGCTGTTCTTGGGCACGCCTGGCTATCACAACATGAAACCAACATATCCCCATCAAAAACTATTGCACAACTCGCGTCCCCTTAAGAACCATCCCTACTTGGGTGTGCATCCCAGTTAGTAAGTTGGTAATCCACACTTAGTGATATGGGTCATAAATATTCATGAACTTATGATGCCAGGGCACATCCAACACCCCCAGAAATCCATGTGGTTTGCTGAAGCCAGGCGTGTTTGGAAACCGTACGCCTTCCCCCGAGACCTTTTTTGCCCCCCGTTGTGTCACCAGGTGGTGCTGGTGGTGGCATGGACGCAGGCCAGCTGGGACAGACCGAGGTCTATGGGACCATCCTAACCCTGGCTGATTTGATAAATCAGAGTGATTTTTGCCCTCAAAGAGTGACGATCTGCTGCTAGAATAGTATCCACCTAAACAGCCAAGGGGTTTATGAATGCGGCATTGTCATTACTGTACATGTATTGGTTTGTAAAAAGTGATTGGTCGCCCCTTCTTGGTGAGTCACAATGGGCGCATACCCACGGAACCTTTGAACTGAACTGTAGGGTCCCATAAGTCCCATTCGTCTCTACTCTTGGGGTTCCTCAGTGATGGGCCGATGGGCCCTCCTCACAGTGCAAGATGGGGTTACTCCCACAATGAAAGTGATCTACTCAGGTGTAACCTCATGTTTATTGGCAGACTTTGGACACTGATGTGCATTTACCATCTAAATGGGTTGATTAAGCTCTTCGATCAATGCCTGATCTGGGGCCATCAATGCACGAAGCCTGCCGAACTCGCGAAGCTCGTTCCCCTGCAGGTGCCGTTCGAAATGCCGCCAAGGCTGCAGATGATGTGCCGAGCTCAGTAGGAATCCAAAAAACCTCGCTGGTTTTGGATAGTTTGATTGGCTCGCCCAGCAGCAATGGAATCTCAAGGAGTGTTTTACTGAGAAGAGTCAAACAGGTCGGTCAATCTGGATGGTCACAGTGTCAAGCCTTTGAGAAGCTTCTGTCGCAACAGCTTCTTGTGGTCAAAGATTATTGATGTTCTGTCGCAACCCACATGACAAGACAAAGAAAATGAGCCAGAAAATGATGGGCTCCTTGAGTGTGGAACCTGAATCCCAAATGGCTTTCCTGACAGAACCATGGCTCTAATTTGCAATGCGCATCATCTCAAGATCCCATGATGTTTCCCTTGTGTGAACCTTAGCTCTGCACGCACCCTCCCGGGGCCTCAAATTGGACTTTTCTCCAGGGGGTTTCGCCTAGAGCTCACAGGAACCCTGCCATCCCAGGAACCCTGACTGGATCATATCATATCCCAGTAAGTGGAGATATGCCGATATGCCAAAATTTAGTCTACCTACGTAAGTCTATTGTATAGATATATATATATATATGCATATATAATACATATGTACATCAATCCAATCTATCTAGCTAGATGTCTCTATTTGTTTGTCCGTCCATCCATCCATGGTTGTCTGCCAAAGTATTGATGGGCTGCCCCCAAGTATCATGCTGAAGTCGCAATGATTATTTGTGACACCCCAGTCCCCCTTGCACTCAGATGGATATGTTCGGCTGAAGCTTCGGCGAACCACCAGAAAACGGATCGACTGAGTGTGCGGGTGCCGTGTGGCAATGCGGATGTGGTGCGAGGTACTCTTTGCTGATCTAAGCTGGCAATAGAATTGCCCACTCATAGATTATTTTCCTAATATATATATATATAGATAAATAATAATATATTTATAAATATAAATAATATATATATATGTATAAATAATATATATATATATACACACATACATATCTATCTCTATATAATTATATGATTGTATGTGTGTATAGATGTCCCACCAAAAGCAACGTGAATATTTCACTGGTAGTCTATGGTAAGTAAGTTATATGAATGCATTAGGCGTTCCATTTTACCTGAGTGGCTTGAATGACGGCTCCAACAGAAAACCAAGCCCGAACCGAGCCCATTTTTGTTGGTCCTGATAAAAAGCCACATCCGAAACGCCAAAGCGACAACTTCATTGGATGCTGCGGGCAAAGGTGGTGTTTCAAGGCAAAACTTCACGTCTGTTGAGAGTGCGTTCAATCTGGGTGCCTGTCGAGCGCCACCGCGATTTTGAAGCAGAAACTCTGAGTTGGTTAGGAGTTCGGTGAAGTTTGGTCACAGTGTCCTGATGTTTCATATTTGGGAAGGAGGAGGATCATCTTGCTGTGTGTTTTCTACATAGTGTTGCACACATTTTGAGAAAAACCTTTGATGAAGCTGCGGATGAGACGAGATGGGTTGAACGTTCTCTCTTTGGAAATGGGACGTGTGTATGTTCTTTGTGGCCCGGCTCAGCTGTCCAGTGACGTAGTATCTTTGACTTCTGTGATGCACATAGTAGAAAGATCCAATGGCGGCTTCCCCCCCTGAACACAGAGCTAGTAGCAGCTAGAAATGATGGAAGAAGGATGTTCAATGGGCAGCAAACCAACCGACAGACAGTTGTGTGATGCGGTGCAGAGGCCTGGTGTTTTCGGTTTGATGAAGTTTTCAGATGCAGGGCATCGACGGGAGAAAAGAGGAAGGGAAGAAAGGGAGAAGAAGGAAAAAGACGGAAAGCAAAAAAGAGAGAAGACCAAGAAAAAAAGAAGAAGCGAAGAAATCACAAATTCACATTTGAAACTAGGTGACTGCCATAAGAGAGGCGGAAACTTGTGATTCATACATATTTCTATATACCTCTTCATTGACCCACCTTGTGGTATTTTGGGGATGTTGGTAGAATCTCCACATAATTCACTTTTGTAATCATATCAAGCTAAACTGAACTAATTCACTGACGAAGCATGGTCGAAAAGTCGAAAACGTCAGCAGCTATGGCAGCTATGGCAGCTATGGCAGCTATGGAATCACAAAAAAATGGCACCAGGCCTCACCATCTTGGAAGCTGCGATACGCAGTTCTCTCCGAGTCGCGGAGGACACCCCAGGAGTTGAAGGATCCGCCCATGGGTCAAGATCTTTGATGACTTCCCGAAAAATCCTGCCGCTTGACTATTACATACCGTTGAATTATACTATCAATATATTGGTTATATAATGGTTAATGATGGTTGATGATTATCTTCAAGTTTCAACCTCTTATGATCTATGCTGACATGTTGCAGCCCTGGGCAGTCCCCTGCGAACGCCTCGAGAGTCGTATCGCGAACCGCGCCGCTTTGTCCCACGGAAAAAAAATGCGGTGTTGTTGCTGAATCCTTGGCCTCAGGCGGTTTTTGGTAGTGATCTATCCGCTCTGTCCAAAACCCCAAAATTGCGCAGATTAATGGGAAAATGATTATTATATATAAGATAATATGATTTTTGGGTACCTGATCTTCAGGCAAATCAAATTTATCCATTTTCATGCGGTACCCAAGTTGACCGATAGAACCAGATTGACCGTGACTGGGCACCCACTTTGAAGCAGCTGCAAGCATAGCAGGGTAGACCTTGAGAATGGGATGGAGATTTTCCACCAGAAAAAATCGGCTCCCTTGGCTCAAGGAACTGCAGATGGGGCGCAGTTGAAGAAAATACTGAGGAGCAGTATGAGCCTAGACACCATTTTCTGTTCTATTTTGGATGTGGCAGCTTTTCTATGTTTTGCCCCAACATCTCTAACAAAGACGGTTTGAATTGAAATCATGAGTCTGATGTTTCAGGCCAACTCCTTAGGCGATTGCTACCGCACCTCCAAACTCAACCAGCAAGGCACTTCCAAACGCACCCTTTGCTTCCGACAGGAAACGCGCCCCGAAATTACCACAGATCTCCATGGTCACATCTGGACCTCACAGATCTCCATGGGAACCCCATCGGAACCCCAAACCACAAATGGTGTTTTGGTCGTCGGAACAGTGACAGCCCGGCAGTCCCGGCATGACGGATCCTGACAGACTACAATGGTGACTCGCTGAGATTTTTCGGATGACTTGGGATGAGCCCAGATGGTGTTTCTGAAGTCAGGCCATGGAACTATACATATTTATATATATATGTATATTGTACGTGCATGTTATGTAATATCTATCTATCTATCTATCTATCTATCTCTCTCTCTGTATATATATACACATATACACACATGTATATTTCCACAGATTTCTGGGGATCTTGAGTACCCAATGTTGAAAAGGGGCGACACTGCAGAGGGCAGCATGCCTGCCCAGTTGTCTTCAGTCGGCAATTTCGCAAAACTCGGATGGTTTCAGAGTTTCAGATTCCCAACCTACAGTTGTTTAATTATTGTGAGTGTGCGTCCCCGTTTCACACACACACATAAAATGTCCTGGCCGAGGTATTCCCAACATGACCCAATTGATGTAGGAAGCCTTCACCCTGGATGTCGCCCCCAAAAAACCGAGGTTTTACGTGGACCGCACAGGGCAGGAGTTTGGCCCTTTCCGTACCACCAAGATGTCGGGGACTCGAGGATACTCGAGGGACCGAGTTCTTGGTTGTTTGAATAAATATCAGAAATGAACTCCCCAAATCTCCCCAGATCCCTGGGTTTATATGGGTTTATCATCATTTTCCTCATTCAAATGGCTTTAAATTTATTAAATCTGGCATAGCAAGTGAAGTTTGGGGGTTGACTTTGAACCAAACCTTGAGAATTTCTATTTGGGCATGGTCATCGAATATACGGGGTTAAACTGTAAAGTTTCCCTTAAACCAACCTGGGCGGTTTCAGACTTCCAATCCACATTTTGGGTTGCCATGGGTCCATGTTGCCATTGAAACAGGGGAACACTATTTTCTCAACCTTAGGCCTTAGAGTTTCTTCTTCAAAGACTCAGACAAACACTATATGCAGACCATGAATCTTAATGAACCACAGTTAGATACAGGTAGTCAGGATGTTTCAATCTATGGTTTCCAGTTGGTGAATATGGGGGGAACTATTACATTTGCATATCAATAAATTCATGTCAAATATTTGATTGCTAATATCCCATAGCTATCCATTTGCTTTTGCTATCCATCCCAGTGAACGAACGCGGAGGCGTTCCTGGTTCTCGCAGGGCTTCTTCCCCATCGGGGATGAGCTCCTGGTGCGCCTGGGGGACTGGCCTCCAGAGGCTGGGAGATGGGATGGGGATGGTGCAGAAGGGGAATGGGATGAGTTTTTTTTTTCCAATGCCATGTTTTGGCAGTGTGGAGATTTGCCAGTTTTTCCACAGACTGTCCGGATTGATGAGTTTTTCTTGCTTCTTAGATTTGATTGAATGATGACAATAAGTTGTTTTTGGCTGGGAGGGACAGCATAATCCACCCAATTTTGAGGTTTTGGAGTACTTCGCATGGGATTCCAACCTCGGAGAAACTCACGAAAAAAGATTGACTTTGAATAGAGCGACACCGTCACAGACACAGACCTTGAGAACCCCAGAGGTTTTGTCAGTCGAGACTTGAGGTGACCTAGCTTGTCCTGAAATGATTCGAACCTTACCTTTATAGTATATAGTTCTCCTGATATCTTGAGATGTGACACAGATGAGCCATGCCATGGGCCATATCTGAATTTTCTGTGAGACAACCAACTCCAGCATTCAAAACCCTGAGCCATCCATCTGCCCCAGTCCCACGTGCCAGTCGGAGTGCCCAGATTTGTGGCGTCCATTTTTCAGGATATGGATATGGGATATGGGTACAAGTATGGTTCGAAAAGCTGGTTACACCGTGATACGCCCAAAATGGCAATTCACCAGGGAACCTCCCAGTCACTTACTTGGTTTCGGTGACGCCATGAGCTGTTCTTGGGCGCTGACTCCTGAGCCGTTCGGTTCACTATTGAAAAGCTACCCCCGAGCCCTGGGTTCGATGTAAAAATCTTCTCCATGGGAATCCTGCCATTCTTGACGACTAGTGCTTTCAACTTCAAGGGACCATTTCGGCAATTTGCCAAATTTCTCATATTTTCTCCAGTGGCGTGAATGGATCACACGTGTCTCACGTGTCTCATCCAGACATGCGTTGAGTTCTTTTTTTCCAAAGTCCAAAGCAACCTGTTTTGCCATGGCCACGAGGTTATGGTTGAGTCTCGCAGTGATCCGTCCCCAAATTTCGTTGACGGCAAGGTGAAGATCCTGTACCCCGAAGCTGATAGCATCTTCGTGGGTGGCCCTCAATCCCCCTTCAGCGTCCGACCCCTAAGCACCGGTGGCTGATGGAAGGCATTGCGACAGGCCGAAAGGACACATTCAATACACGATTTTGTATCGAACACCATTTGCATGGTTCAACATCATGTGTTGGTTGAAATCACCACTTTGATTGGTCTGCTGGTTGACATCACTTTACATTTACTATCATGCTTTTCGTTACACTCCGAAGTAGATGTAATACGTCATGATTTTCAATTGCCAGATTCCCAGGGTTTCCAGCATCATTTTGCAAATTTTGATTTGTGTCGGGCCGCCTTGAAACCCTGAATTACAAGACGCTAGTTTGTTTATCAAGATTTGATCATTCATCTTCACCATTTTCTTTAATTTTTCTCAAAGTTTCTCCATGAAAATTGCTATAAATGGCTAGATTGTCCCCCATTTTAGGGGCCAACCCATCTCATCTCATCTGATCGACGAGGCCGTGCGGCAGCCCAGGCGGCGCAGCCGCGAGCGGCGGCGCAGCCGCTCGCGGGAGGGGCGACGGGAGGCGCCCTGGTTTGCCATGCGGGTTGTGTGAACATAGGTTGATTCCATACCGATGCTATACCCCATATTCCAATGGATGATTATCAGTTTCCCTAAGAACATGGCAATTTTTTTTGGGTATCGGTATCCACCTCTTTTCAGAGGAACCCAGTTTTTTTTTATAAATGTGTTTTTTGGGATCACGAATGAGCACAAAACTTCTCAATACCTTATCCTCGCTTTAGACTCCAGCCTTGTGTTGTGGGATGTTCTTGCAACAGGAGCCTCCCTCGCGAGGACGCATGGAGGACTGCTAACGACGCCTTTTGATAGGGAGAAGAATGATCCAGAATTGGTGGGGATTTCCAACCGTCCGTCATATAAAGATTTTGCTTTGCATTCAAGGGTCCAAAAAGACCCAAGGGTCCAAACTGGGTCCAGCTGATGAATCTCGCGCAAGCCTCGCTCATGTCCTTTTTCTCGCTCACACCCAAAATCATCCAAGTAAGGATTTGTCAGGACAAACAAATCAGTGACAAAAGGTCTGCTCAATTATGGGGCATGTTACAATTTGAATTCTCTTTTTTGATCTGTCCTGATCACATTTGCCTGCTTAAATGTATGCAAAATGCAAAATTCGTGGCATCGTCATGTTGCTACTCGAGCTTGGATGCTTTCTGCATCACTGGCCGGGCTGCTCAGCTTCAGCTCGGACACGCTCGGATGTTTTTGCTCCGTGCCCTGGACCTGGACCTGGACGGCCTGTCACGGAGAAACCGCCCGGCTTGCGACAACGGGGAGGGCACGGAGCTGGGGAGCCATGGCTGGCCAGGGGTAACACAACGGGAGAAGAAGAACGGGAAAGTGATGCAAAATGAGAAATGTCACTTTTATAGTTTGTAAACTAGAAAAAGTTGCTTTTGTAACATGTTGAAATTGTAAAATTATGCATATTTGCTGAATACTTTGTTATTTTTTGAAAAGTAAGTTCTATCCATATTTTTTGTCCACAACCAATCTTAAAACATTCACTGGTTCATTTTCAAGGTATTGGAATGAAATTTAAAAGTTTTTTTCAAAATATTTTTTGTCAAAATATGTTCAAAAAACTAATTTCTATCCTTAAATTATGTCCAAAATCAGGTTTAAAACATTCAGTGGATCATGCTCAAGTTATTGGAATGAAATTTAAAATATGTTTTTTTCGATTTTTTTTGGTCGAAATTTGGTTCAAAAATGACATTTCTATCAAAAATATGTCGTGTCTAACCTTAAACCCTACATCCGTTAATAATCATAATGCACAATATGCACATAAGCACGCTATTTCCACACAACGGGGTGTTACAACGGGGGAGACACAACGGGAGAAGAACAACGGGGAAAATGATGCAAACTGCGAAATGTCCTTTTGCGAAAAACCGCCATGCCCAAAAATATGTTTTGCGAAAATCTGGTTTCCCCAAGGATGTGTTTGCGAAAATCCTGGATATCCAGGACCGTGGTTTGCGAAAGATCAGGGTCAGATCTTTCTCAAAAGATTTTTTTACCCATGTTTTGCGAAAAACCGCCATGCCCAAAAATATGTTTTGCGAAAATCTGTTTTCCCCAAGGATGTGTTTGCGAAAATCCTGGATATCCAGGACCGTGGTTTGCGAAAGATCAGGGTCAGATCTTTCTCAAAAGACTTGCAATTGTTAAATTATTTGTTGCTACATGTGCGCATATATTGATAAATGAGGAAAACAACTTTTTTTTGCGAAATGTGGGATTTGAATTTCACTCTCTGAATAGTTTTTTTTCATGAACAGTTTGCGAAAAAACAACATGTCCAGGATTCTTTTTTGCGAAAATCCTGCTTCCCCAAGAATGTGTTTGCGAAAATCTTGGGGAATCAGGACCTTGGTATGCGAAAGATCTGGGTCAGGTCTTTCTCAAAAGATGTTCCATGTTTGTATGTCATATTAAGGTATATACATAATGTATGTATATGTGATGTCGCTATATTATATATGATGACAGGAAATCACCTGTTTTTTGCGAAAAACTTGTTTTCTCAAAAATGCTGGCCACAAGTCGCTCAGATTGATCGCAAAATGGCAGCTGGATAACATCTATGTTGAACCCCTTGTTTGCGAAGAACCAGGGCCTGGTTCTTCTCAAACAACTGCTTGTTCCCTAGCACTGCTTTGCGCAAGCCTCTGGTTTGCTTAAAACACCCCAGGTATCAGCAGCCTGTTTGAGAAGAACCAGGCCCTGGTTCTTCGCAAACAAGGGGTTCAACATAGATGTTATCCAGCTGCCATTTTGCGATTAATCTGACTGACTTGTGGCCGGCATGCTTGAGAAAACCTACTTTTCGCAAAAAAAATGTTGTTTTCCTCATTTATCAATATATGCGCACATGTAGCAACAAATAATTTAACAATTGCAAATCTTTTGAGAAAGATCTGACCCTGATCTTTCGCAAACCACGGTCCTGGATATCCAGGATTTTCGCAAACACATCCTTGGGGAAACCAGATTTTCGCAAAACATATTTTTGGGCATGGCGGTTTTTCGCAAAACATGGGTAAAAACATCTTTTGAGAAAGATCTGACCCTGATCTTTCGCAAACCACGGTCCTGGATATCCAGGATTTTCGCAAACACATCCTTGGGGAAGCCAGATTTTCGCAAAACATATTTTTGGGCATGGCGGTTTTTCGCAAAACATGGGTAAAAACATCTTTTGAGAAAGATCTGACCCTGATCTTTCGCAAACCACGGTCCTGGATATCCAGGATTTTCGCAAACACATCCTTGGGGAAACCAGATTTTCGCAAAACATATTTTTGGGCATGGCGGTTTTTCGCAAAACATGGGTAAAAACATCTTTTTAGAAAGATCTGACCCTGATCTTTCGCAAACCACGGTCCTGGATATCCAGGATTTTCGCAAACACATCCTTGGGGAAACCAGATTTTCGCAAAACATATTTTTGGGCATGGCGGTTTTTCGCAAAAGGACATTTCGCAGTTTGCATCATTTTCCCCGTTGTTCTTCTCCCGTTGTGTCTCCCCCGTTGTAACACCCCGTTGTGTGGAAATAGCGTGCTTATGTGCATATTGTGCATTATGATTATTAACGGATGTAGGGTTTAAGGTTAGACACGACATATTTTTGATAGAAATGTCATTTTTGAATCAAATTTCGACCAAAAAAATCGAAAAAAACATATTTTAAATTTCATTCCAATAACTTGAGCATGATCCACTGAATGTTTTAAACCTGATTTTGGACATAATTTAAGGATAGAAATTAGTTTTTTGAACATATTTTGACAAAAAATATTTTGAAAAAAAAAACTTTTAAATTTCATTCCAATACCTTGAAAATGAACCAGTGAATGTTTTAAGATTGGTTGTGGACAAAAAATATGGATAGAAATTACTTTTCAAAAAATATCAAAGTATTCAGCAAATATGCATAATTTTACAATTTCAATATGTTACAAAAGCAACTTTTTCTAGTTTACAAACTATAAAAGTGACATTTCTCATTTTGCATCACTTTCCCGTTCTTCTTCTCCCGTTGTGTTACCCCTGGCCAGCCATGGCTCCCCAGCTCCGTGCCCTCCCCGTTGTCGCAAGCCGGGCGGTTTCTCCGTGACAGGCCGTCCAGGTCCAGGTCCAGGGCACGGAGCAAAAACATCCGAGCGTGTCCGAGCTGAAGCTGAGCAGCCCGGCCAGTGATGCAGAAAGCATCCAAGCTCGAGTAGCAACATGACGATGCCACGAATTTTGCATTTTGCATACATTTAAGCAGGCAAATGTGATCAGGACAGATCAAAAAAGAGAATTCAAATTGTAACATGCCCCATAATTGAGCAGACCTTTTGTCACTGATTTGTTTGTCCTGACAAATCCTTACTTGGATGATTTTGGGTGTGAGCGAGAAAAAGGACATGAGCGAGGCTTGCGCGAGATTCATCAGCTGGACCCAGTTTGGACCCTTGGGGCTTTTTGGACCCTTGAATGCAAAGCAAAATCTTTATATACGTTGTTCAGATATTCTGCAAACATGGGTCGAGCCAAACCTTCAGACGCAAGGACCCGTTGCTAGAATCGGATTCTTGGCGATACCATGCTAGGCCATACCAAATCTGACAATTTGTTTAAAGGACAACCAAACTTGCTGCAGGACTATCCGATGGACTACGACCGGCCGCCGCCGCCGGGCTATGGCCCCCCGCCCCCGGCCTATGGGCTGGGCTACGGGCCGCCGCCGGGCTATGGCGCCTACGGGCCGCCGCCATACGGGGCACCGGGCTACGGCCCACCGCCACCGGGGTATGGGCCACCGCCACCAGGGTATGGCCCGCCACCGCCAGGGTATGGCCCACCACCCTTCGGCTATGGCGCCCCGCCCGGCTATGGGCCGGGCTATGGACCACCAGGAGGACCACCGGGAGGACCACCAGGCTATGGACCACCTGGCCACGCGTAACTGGCACGTTTGCAAAAGAACTGGGTGCAAGTTGGTCACAAGATTTGAAATTCAGATCTGCTGGGTAATTCATCCTTGCCAGGGGCCGAGCGGCCCAGGGAGTGGCAGATATAGTGGGACACTGAAGTCCTTCAATGCTAAGTTGCTGGGCAGAGTCAGACTCTGGATAGTTTAGATTGTGGGCAAGTTGAGACATGCGGCCCATTCGGCCTCAAAGGGACAACATGGATTCGTCAAAAACCTAGTGCAGAACTGCATTATGATCCAAAGGCACACATAGATATACTATCCGCTTGCACAGCAACCATCCAAAATCACCGTTCTTGCAGGAACTCCCAAAACCTCGCTATCCAATGTTGCAGGGTGGAGGATGTCCAATATTTGAGGGCATTGTTTTGTTCATTTGTTCATTGTTCGTCGTGCTGCTTCGTTTACTCTTCAAAGACAGTTCTTGGTGTTGACAACAAACATTTGGAAGCCGCCAAGCGCATAGGGGTGGGGGTCAGGCAAGAGCTAAACACCCCGAATTCTTATTTTTGGTAGACATCCCAACATTATCTAGTCAATCTATTCTGTTCATTTCCAAGATGTTCAGGATACTGAGATTGCAGACTACCGAACCAGCAGCTCGTGGCCATTTCTAGCCTGCAAGTACGTACCATCCAACTCTTGGTGTACCCACTTTTGACCCAGACGACAAGATTCCCAATTTAAACGGCTGGCTTGTCTAATGATGCTGGTCGTATGAGTCATATGTGCATTTTTAGAGGTTGAACATGGTTGAAACAAGTCCAACCCGGCATTGTTCTTCACAGCCGTTTTTTTTTTGTTGTAACGGTTTCTACATGTTTCTACCGTCCTGGTTGCGCAACCAAGGGGTGGCTTCGGGTTCATCGACTGTCCAGAGGCTGTGGAGCTGTTGGGAGATCATTGCAAGTCATCTATCCGGTGGTAATAAATAACTATTGCAATAAAGAAAGTGTTGATTTTATTAATGTACAACAACAGATATAAGCTTGACCGAGTTGCGGTCCTTTTTTTTTTCCGGGAAATGTGGACCGACCCAAATAACTGGCCACTTTAATAGTCAAATGACAATTCAGCATGGGATTTTTATATACTTTTACGTGTTTCGCAACATTTCGAGACCCAAGTGGCTAGAAAAGCTGGCAATTTGTCATGGAAGCATAGACGAAAAGAACATAGGAGACTAGTGAGCCTGCCAGGTTTGAGTTTTCCAAGGGTGCAGCGCCAGTAAAGATGGGGAAAAGTAGCATCTAATGGGCGTAGCAATATTATCAATTTTATCAATGTATCACCATTCGCTTGGTGGTTTCAACAGTTTCACCTGCTTGGGATTATTGATTAAATTGATGGGACTTGTTGGGACACAAGTTGACTGATCAAGAGGAGACAGCTGGTAACAACAAAGGGCCAAGATCAAGGGGTCCTCTTATCTCGTGAACACCGACATCGTCATTGTTAGCCTATGGAAATCAATGACGCATCTTTATTTTGTGAACGAAAAAAAGATCAAACAACGGGCACACCTTGGCGTTTTCTTCTTTGGCCTACCAGCCTACACAGCGTTTCTGGGGAAGTCTCCTCTCTTCCAGCCAGGGTATGGAGTGGTGAATGACACTATGGGCATATCAGGTTCAAAGCCAAAGGGCAGAGCTGGAACGATTCACCGAGGCGATGAACGGTCAAACTTGACCTCGGTTCAAACCATGGATGGTCTACTAAGGACCAAACATCATAGAAAGTCATAAAAACAATCCACCAAAAAACAGTGAACATCTCATCATTATCCCAGGATCATCAGTAGATACTTGCATTATTTCGCTAAAAATGATGAACCTTCCGCCCTTCCCAACGTGTTCTTCCAAGTGAAAAGCGACCGATGCGGTGTCTCTTGTGCGGCCATAGCCTGGACGCCGCGGCGGAGAACGGGCGAGGTGCGTGGTGTGGGTGGTGCGAGAGCGAGGCAGCCACACTGAGCCAGGAAGAGGCAGGGGTTGTGATGGTTTGGTCTTCGAAAATTTGGTGGGATTATAATTATAATATAATATAGATATAATATATATGATATAATATAATAAAATATCTACCATGATCTACTCAGATTCGTCAAAAAATTGAGGGATTGAGATGGATGAACACTGATGAATCTTGACTAAAACTGTGGGATGGTTGAACAAAAAATGGTGAGATTCTGGGGTGCATGTGAGGCCATTGTGTATCAAATGGGGCACGCATTTATTATCAATCACCATTTAATTTTTCTAGATTTTTGAAAAAACACGGTGCACCGAATCATAACAACGATACTGGTGGTAAACATACAAAAAACTATGGAAAATCACCATTTTTAATGGGAAAACTCACTATAAATGGCCATTTTCCATAGCAAAAGTGACCTGCCCCACCTGTGGGGCCCACCTGAAACACAGGTGGCGGCGCTCCAGAAATTGGACCGGATCCCGGCCGCCTTTGAAGTCTGGTGCTACGGCCGCCGTGAGGACGCCGAGGCCAGGGGGGTGGTGACGAAGAACTCCACGCCGGTGCCGCAGCCGGCGCGGCTCCTGCCGCGGCTGCCGTTGTTTTTGGGCGATTTGGATGATGCAAAAGACGTGGACAACTTGAAGTGGCTTGAAGATTGAATGACTTTGAATGATTTTGAATGATTTTTGAAATGATTCTTGAAGTTTGTGAATCAAGTATGGTGAAATTTTTTCTTGGCGTTTTTGGTTGTGGCAATCCCGTAACTCTTTGGCAGCACCACACAGCCGAGGAAGTTGGGCATTGGTTGCGTCATCAACCTTTGTGCCGACAAAGTTGCGAGCAGCCGACGGTACCAAGACGTTCCAGGTAGACTGGCGAGGGCTCAGATCCACCACCACATTCTCGTCGCGGAGGATGCCCGGCATTTCAAGATCCTGCCTGCTGCTTGGTAAAACGATGAGTTTTGGTGAGTTTGGGGCGAAGATCAGTAGGGAAACGGTTTCTGAATTGGTTCGTCCAAAGACATGGCATACCTAGAATCCAAAGATTAATCATCGTATTCCCATGTATTCTCTATGAAATGGCCATTTCAAGGGGTATGGCCATGTATGGCCTATTTTCAGACAACGCCGACTTTTCTCCAACTATTCAATGGGTGGGCGAAACTCCATCATTCCCAGTTTGCCTTTGGGGGAACCACGTGAGATCGCAGAGTTGAAAATTGCAGCTGGAAATTCTACCAGCCAATACACGGATAGTATGTGTGTATATATGTGCGTATATATATATATAAATCGTATATGTATATATATATATACGTAGCTCTGATGTTGCATGTATACCTGCATATTGGCAAATCTGCAATATATATACATATATGATATGTATACAAAAAATGACAATGTATGCATGTATACATCTAATCTACCATGACTCCATGAGTAGATTGGCAGAGAAATTCTTTCACCTTTGGGAAAATTTTTCCGCGCAGGTAGGACTATTGGCTTTGTCCGAAAATAGGGTATCCCCAATGCCACGAGTTTCCCATATTTTTTTTGGACCATATGATGGGGCCCATCTCCCATTTGGACACCCAAAAATCCACTCGTGATGGTTGAATTCGCCATGTCGCTTGCGTCAAATCCCTCATAAAAAAAGTACATGTGTAGGTATATAATGGTATACATTTACCACTATCTATGTATGTGTGTATATACATAAAATACATAATATATATATATACACAATACACATACATACACATGAATTTGTCTCCATATGGGTCCCATCAGGTTGTACAGGTGGCATTTGGCATCATCAACGCTGCCTTGGCGCAAGAGACGAACAATGGCGTCTTGGTGCACTGCTGGGGTGGGGTCAACCGCAGTGCCGCCTGTGTCGTGGCCTTTTTGACAACGCAGTGTCTTGGCGATGCTGGGAACGTAGGCACTGGTTGGGGTTGAAGAACTACCTGGGTTTGTCGGAAAGTGCGGGGAACACAAAGAAAAATCCATGGCCATTTTTTTGAATGGGAACGATGTTGACAAGTTGACCAGAGGGTTTTGGAGTATCCTATTTTCCGAACCGCCTGGTTTATTGGGCATTGTGATAGCTCGTGAACATACCTATTTACCAACCAGTGGAGATTTAGCCAATCCAGATGGGTATTTAACCGCAGTGAAATCTGGATGCAATTTATGATACACTAAGTATTTCCCTGATCCCCTGTTTCAACATGCTTTGAACATGTCTGCATACGTATATGTATATGTACGTATTGAATTGTAATTAATCATATAAGAATATAGTATATATATATAATATGTATGTATAATTATACATACATTCATGTATAGGTTGTTTTCGGTCCCCACAAATGACTTTGGGAAGGTTGGCTCAACCACCTAAAAAGCACCTGTGGTGACGACGCAGAGAAGTTCATAGATTCTCATTGTGTGATTGATGCGAGCAGCACCAGGCAGCACAATTCATGGAAGTACCTCAAGACCCCCAAAAAGTAGCTATGATTGATTCAAGAGGCTGGAGAATCTAACCAATTGGTAATCTGATTTTGTTCTCGATCAACAGGATCAAAAGGTCACCCTAGAGATGATATATCCTTTGCAAATCCGATCGACCTGGTCCAGCCTGGGTACACCGAGGTATAAGGTGCCTCTCTACGCTGCTGTGGCGGAGAGCATGAAACAGCGAGGCACCATTTTGACGAATCAGTCCTTCCGAGCCCAGTTGGTCCGTTTTTGCTTCCAGCAGGGCTTGGACTTATGTGGCCACTCGGAGTACTCCTGGAATATTCGGTTCTATCACCTATTCTTTGGAGGTACTGATCCTATTTATCACCAAAAACTCACCGTCTCCCAGTCCATCCTCCCCAAAAAGTGACATCCTAACGTAATATTGTTATCATCATGAAACGGATGATGAATATTGCTCTAAAAATGACCATAGAAAATAGAACCATCATTGTTACATATTGTTACTGTATACACTGTATATACAGTACAATGTAGAAAAATATACAATAATATACAATGATACATAGAAAAATACATATATATATATATAATATAATATAATATAATATATATATATACATATATCTAATGGTTAGGTTCAGATCAGCAAGGTGAGGAGGTCCCCGCGGCCCTGTGGCAACCACCGGCGGATCCGGTGGCTCTGGGGGATGCGCAGAGCTGCAATGATCCAACGAAGCGGCACAAGAAGGAGCCGCCCAAGGACAGCAACGTGCCTTCGGCGGTGTTGCCTTCAGGGCTTGGTTTGTTTTGAAGAAAAATGGTAGGGTTGGTTGTTGCTTGTTGGTTGTTGGTTGTTGCTTGTTGCTTGTTGGTTGGTGTTGTTGTCGTCCACATTTGCAGTTTCTTTTTGAATTGGGACCCCAACAGGTCGCCCTGTTGGCTTGAAAGTTTGGATGCTGGATAGTTGGATGCACAGCAATCTATGACAGTTAATAATAACAGGGTGCATTGCAGTTTGAAACAGCAATGCGTGGGACTTTGGATCTCGGAATTTTCAAATCCACATGCCTGCTTCCTCCATGGCTGTTTGCAAGACTTCAGAGTGTAAACCATTTGGCCTCATGGGTTGCTTTGCCTGTGTAGTTTCTCACTCGCGCGATATAGTTGTTGGTCTGGCGTTGCTGACTCGATTATGTAGTTGTTAACTTGGCCAATCTTTGTGTTATTGGCCCAGCTTTCACTGATGTTGTTTGACAGCAAACGCAACTGTGCAGAAGAATAACCAACCAAAACTTCTGTTACCTACCATGACGTGCCCCCCACCTAATTAGACTTCTGGATAATCTTCTAATGTATTATTACAACATTATATGCATACTTATATCATACATATATCATACATATATCATACATATATCATACATATATCATACATATATCATACATATATCATACATATATCATACATATATAAATATATACATCAATACATGCATACATTTGCATATACACATATACAATTCATAATAATATGATACGAATATATATATATATTTATCTATCTATCTATCTACCTATCTATCTATCTATCTATCTATCTATCTATCTATCTATCTATCTATCTATCTATCTATCTATCTATCTATCTATCTATCTATCTAATCTATCTATCTATCTATCGATCTATCTATCGATCTATCGATCTATCTATCTATCTATCCATCCATCCATCCATCCATCCATCTATCCATCTATCCATCTATCCATCTATACATCCTATCTATCCTAATCTATCTATCTATCTATCTACCTATCTATCTATCTATCTATCTATCTATCTATCTATCTATGTACATATATATATATATATAATACATATATATATATATACAATACATTTATATATCATGTTGCAACCTCCATCACCTGCCAGTTGCCCCCAGCCGCAGCATCACCGAGGACCACGGCCTGCGCTTTGCGGCGCGTGATGGTTGCTTGAAATGTGTGATGGACTATGTCGAGCAGGGCGTAGCTCCTTGGCTGCGGACAGGTTGGTGTAGCATGGGGATTTGTGTTGGCCGGCTGACATGGTGATTTACTATTCTTGCCACGTGTTGATTTTTTGGGGTTTTCCAAAACGATTCCAACAGAATTACGGGCTATTTTGGAAGGGGATACCGGAGGTTTTTATGGATGACCTGCTACATGATCGCTTGGAAGTTGACCTGCTGTGGCCTTGAAGTTGACGTACACCCAGAAAGGTTCTCCATTGATCAAAAACACAACACTGGGATCATCCCACTTGATATTGGTGAGTAGCCATAGTAATGACTTAGTAATCATAGTCATAAACCAGGTGTATAGCAGTTCTTTTTATGGGACACGCCTACCGTTCCAGCCGAGGACCCAGAGAAGAAGGGCAAGAATTATTCGGCGCTGGGATGGGCCGAATGGATCCTTGCTGAAAAGCGTGATGAAACCATGGAAAAACCCGAAAAATCCTCAGCAAATGTTCCTGGAGGTCTGGAAGAGGATTCTTTTGGACATATTTGGGAGTTTTCTGGATAATTTTAGAGGTTTCATGAAAGGTTTCGAGGGGTGTGATGGTAGGGTTATCTAGCATTTTGGACCGGAAGCATAAGAGGAGAGCGGGATGACTTGCGTAGCCTTCGAGATACGCTGTTCCTGGGTAATGGATGAGAAAACCACTGGCTTTGGTTCGAATTTCTTGACATTCCGTCCACAATTTCATGGTTCTGTACTGAAGACCAGCCAAACTTGGGGCTCCTCTAATACCCCGTTTGCCCAAGGAAAAGGCTTGGAACGTATCATGCCAAGGCCAAAAGTTCCATGCCCTGCAGGGATTGATTGGAGGTTCATCGATTCCGGAAATTCCCTGACTTTCAGAGTCGAGTTTGACTGGGGGATCCACTAACAAACCATCCCAATAGTGGTCGAAATTGTGTAGACCCTGATTCTTGGGATGATTTGAGCATATTTCCCCAATATCACCACCGAAAGATTGATCATTGGGGATGGTTTATGGCAACGACCGGTGAGGTTGTGTGGGTCTGATCCGAGGAAGCTGGGAAGGGCCCTGGATGACCAAGAGAAGCGACAATACCGTGCGATTCTGGTGTGTTTGCAGCGAGCCAGAGGGCAAGCAGATGCCGTGTGAAAGTGGCTGCAAAAAATGGGAATGGCTTGGCTCAAAAGTGGGTATGCACCAATTTGATCCAATTTGTGGATATTTTAATGGGAAGATGATGATAAACTATTGGATTCTGTGACATGAGGCAAAGTCCTTGTGTTTGATCGTTGGCAAAGTTACCAACAAGAGTGTAGTTGAAAAATCCCTGACATTTCTAGCCTTCTCCGCTTTTGAATCAGCATTCTGGCACCCACCAATTCCACGCATTTTTGCGGGTTCAGTGATGTGGCCTGTAGGGTGTCTTTGCGGCTGTTTGACAGAATTGGAAGGCTGGTAAAAGTCAGACATCGAGAGTTGAAGCAGTGTACGGGTATCACGTCTTTCCAATTTGAGCTGATCGTTCAGAAGGAACTATGGATCAAGCTCTTTGTAGCAAAATTGAAAGGCCGATACAGTTCAATTTTGAGGTCTTTCAAGGGTCCAACCAGTCTGGTGCCAAAAAGTGCAGAAGATTCTTGATGATTTTTGGTGTTGGCAACTACAGGGTGTTCCATAAATTCATCCCCCCACAGACGGTTAAACAGAGCCAGGTGCGTCGACACTACACCAGGGATGTCTACGTCCACAAGGCACCGGTGGATGCAGGGCCTATGCCAAACTTAGGGCGTTCCCCATATGGAGATTCATCCAGATGGCTCGACACAGGATACCGGGATGTTAGGTGACCTTCGAAGTAGGATTCTTTTCCACTTGCTCAGGTGGCTTGCTCATCTATACATACCAACCAACCCAACGGGTTTGTTAGAAAGTAGGGTTTATCATCCTGCGATGGCTCGTGCAGGCACAAATTGGGGACCTCGAGGTTGGTGGGGGCCTCAGATGAGGAAAGTATGGTGGCGTGTGAGGTTTGGTGTCATGTAATCTCTACACGCATCGATGTCCAGAAAAGGGAATTGCATAAATTGGATCTATTGAACATGATTTTTTTATTATCCCATTGGTAAATCAAATCCACCATTTCTGGAATCCACTGGTTTTACGTTTTGTGGTCCGAAGCAAATCCACTTTTTATCGTGGTTTGATCCTGTCGCTAAGGTGAGGAACTCAATTTTCTGGTGGATACCAACAAGGAGCCGCGGAGTTCGGGCGCTGAAAAACAATTCCCCAAGTCACTACCAACATGGGATGTGGATTAGGAGGTGCTTTTCAAAATTGTGAGGTACATGGGAACCCCCAAAACTTCTGGTCATTTTTGGATGTGGGTCCCCCAAAACGGGGAGATATCCCAAAATGTCAAGTTTGATGGGCAATAAACCTATAATTTTCTATATATTCCAGGTATGGCACCAACCTTGACCTTGACCAACATGGGGCAATAGCCATTCGTGACGCCCTTGTCTATGGGGATATGCCAAGACAACATATCATTTCAAGGAACTGCTGCCGTACCGGGCACCTAGAGCATAGTTCTGGTGTGTTTAGCATGGCAATGGGCCAACTCAAACAGCAAACATTTGGACAAGTAATATTGTTTAAACTATGGTGGTTTGTCAATGTTTGGTTATCATAGGGCAAAACTTACAGCAAAAGTTCGGGAACAGCTGGGTATCCTCAAAATGGTGCGACCCCAACCCATTTTTGTACAACCAACCATAGAAAGATGGGCCTACTATCCACAGCCCTGGAAAAGCCTCAGTTAAGCCTGATGGAACTTGCTAAGTAGTTATAACAGGCTAAGTGAGTACAACATAGTATAACTATGTATAACTGGGATAACTGGTGAAAACATCCTCAGTTATCACCCAATTCCATTGGGATATTTCTACATGTTACTATGGCTACGTCGCCGTCGCCGTCGCCGGGGCCTTCGCCAGGACGGGTACCCTCAGGCCCGTGACATCCGTCGCAGAGACGGCTCGAGGTAAGGCGACTCAGTGGGGATGATGATGATTATATACATATCTATTATAGTATAATATAGTATATATATATGTTATTATATATATATGTATGTATGTATACTGTATACTATGATTCTGGGTAAATTATAACGAGCTCACTGCGACCTCACTGGGAATCATGGTTAGTAAGGGGAATCATCCCCAAATGGCCTTAATTCAGGTTAGTGAAATATTATAATTTACCCAGATACTGTATACTATGATTATTATTACATATAATATACTGGTGGATGCACCAGTTGGTTTGACAATTCTGAAGCATTGTAGATGATGGGATTACAATGGGAGAGAGCATCTACCAAATGGTGCAGGATTTCTTCCATGCACAGGCTTTCTACAGTCTCTGATAGTCGCATCTCCTGGCCAACCTGAGGCCCGGTCAGAAGAGAGGAGGCGGGGGAGACGGCTCGGTGCCTCAGAATTCACAAGGACTTAAGCAAAATGGAGGTGTATAGCTGGGAAAGTCATCCATTCCTATGTTTTTTTTTCCAGAAAGCCAGGTTTGACTCCTGGCTATCTCCTGGGTATCTCCTAGTTTTTTATCCCATGAAGCCTCCATTTATCCCATTCATCTCCCATTAAATCACTACTGGGTCCTCTGCAATAGCAACTCCTCTACAGCGGCCTGGTCTGAGGTGATGATGCCAACGGTTGGAAAACCTAGTGAAGCTGAAGTGGTGGTGCATGGATATGTATACTGTGTGTATATATAAGACATATACACATCATATAGAAAAGAGAAAATAGAATATGGAATATAGATATAGATATAGATGTACAAATCGATATATAGATATAGATATAGATGTAGACATGTATATATATATAAATATAGATGTAGACATAGATATATGCATATAGATGTAGATGTAGATATAGATTTAGAATATAGACATAATGTAGATGTAGACATAGATACAGATATATGTATATATATATATACATTGATTGAAGATTTAATTCGTCAAAATGGATTTTTTACATGACTCACCCATCAGACATTGGGATATCTGATATTACCAATGAATAACAAGAATATATGGGTTTGTCTCAAAATAGGGGTTTTGACACCCGATTTATTGCACTCTTAAAGGATGATGACAAAGCGTCACTCTTGGTTGGTGAAACTCATGTAGCGACCACTCGATTGATGACATCCCCAGACTTGTTTGGTGTATGCAGCGAGCTTTTTCAGCTTCTCTCCCATATTTGCTGGTCACCTTCCCATTACTTTTCTCTGCTTAGAAAACAAGTACTTCTTTATCACTTAAGCAAGTTCCCCCAGCCCCAGCCCTTGCGGTCCAAGCCCGCGTTGGTGATGTCCCAAGGCGATAACATGTCGAAGCGGCCCCGGAGGAGAGGAGGGAAGGCGCTAACGCGCCTAAACTTCAACAAGATCTTGGAATTTATAGGGGTTTTAACCAACAAACATGGAGGATGAACCAGTCACATTCTTAAAATGGGAGGGGTTGACCATCAACATAGAATGATGTAACAAGCATGTGGGGTTTAGATAGGGGTTTTAGCCAGCCATAAATGGGGATACATAGGATATGTAACCAATCCGATATTTGGGTGTGTCTGAACAAGGTATAAATCCTTAACATGGCAATTTTAACATGCAGGAAAAGACAAGCCAGTCAGTGGATTCGGGGGTAGCCTATTTTCAGACAAAATGATGCAGTCCAAAGAGAACAAGATGCATATTCCCCGCTGTTCTGATTGTGAGATACTTTTCATGAAGTCAAGAGGACCCTCCTTGTTGAACATTTTCATAGAATTGGATGATGGGAAAATTTACACCGGAAAGCCCAAACAATTTGATGGTAAAAAGCCATGGGTTTCCGGTTAAGATTTTCCCTTAAACCAATGGTTGGATTCTCCAGAAGTTGGTGGCCTCCCAGATTCCCGCTTGCCAGGGCAAGCGGAAGCCCAACGAAGGCGGACCCAGTGGCACGGCTTTCTGTTTCTTTTGTAAAAATCATGAGCTATATAAAATATAGAAGGAATACGGAGGAATACAGTAATTGGACCTAATATTTTACATAATGTTACCAATATCATTCTAATTATTTAATATAAGGATATATTTGTGTCATCAAATGAACTTGTAATCTAAGGCAGGTGATAAGCGTGAGGGGGTGTTCAACGACGAGCTTCAGCGACCGCGAACATAGGAATGGAGAGGTCATTTTAGCAGAACTCGCCTGACAGTAGCCGATGCAAAAGATCTTCTTGATTCCCCAAAGGCTAGATGCGTCCCCTTCCACATCCTTCCACCCTTTCAGTGTGTTAGGAGGTTGGGAAGCAGCGTCATTTGTGGGTTTGCATAGCTCAATATTTCTGTCCCCCAAGGTGCAGGATGCGGATTATATCTTGACTAGTGATTTTGGATTTCAGCTGCACCAACTTGAAAGAACCTAGTGTCTGAGTGTACCCAGTTTTCGTGGGATCACTATAAGGTGGGGGACTACTGGAACCAACCTGGATTATCAATTGGTTGCTTTCTAGGTCTGAAGGTCATTCAGAAAGGCTTCGCAAAATCAGACAGATCATGAAACATCATGAAAAGCCGCGAAAAGTCATCAAACATCGGATGAAACTGTCGTGACGCACTCCAGCTGATGACAGGAGATGGAAAGGCAGGCGACGGCAAGGCCTGGAAAACTGTAAGAATCCTCCTGCTGAGGACGGAAACAGCACTCGCCTCACCTAGAGTTGAAATACCCACAAAAAATAACTCACAGTCCACCTCAATCAAATCCTGACCTCACTGCCAGGGTGGAGCCGCACCCGCAGATGAAAAGAAAGCGGCGGAGTCGACCGAAGCGCAGCCGGAGGGAGATGGGAAGGAGGAGGAGGAAGCGCCTCAGACAGCTGAGGCAGAAAAGGCTGAGGGAAATGAAGCAGAAAAGGCAGAACCAGCAGAAGCAGAAGCTGAGGTGGCAAATCCTGCAGAGACCTCAGAAGCTCCCAAGCTCGACGGTCCCAGTGTCGATGCTGTTGCTTCCGAACCAGCAGCTGATGCTGACAAGGAAGCGCCGGCTGCACCAGCGCCAGCTGAACCAGCGCCAGCTCCAGAGGTAGCTCCTGAACCAGCAGCGTCAGAGCTGCCGGCTGCTGAAGCACCTGCTGTGCCAGCCGCAGAGCCAGCCCCGGCTGCGCCGGAAGTGGCGACCGCTGCAGAGGCCCCGGCAGTGGCAGAGGCCCCGGCCGAGGCCCCACCTGCGCAGGCTCCAGCGGAAGAACCGCCTGCGCCCGCTGAGACGACTCCGGCGGAATCGGCGGAGATGCCGAAAGAAGCTTAGGCGAGAGATGGCCGGGGGTCAAGGGATTGGCCGGGGGATTTGCTGTCAGTCATGCAATGCCACTTGTGATTTGCGCAAGATGGTTTAGAAAAAGCAATTTGCACATCCAGACTGCGCGCTGGGGCATCTGCAGCTGCGTGCCAGGTCAAATCTGGGACAAGAAGTCTCTGAGTTAAGTTTGAGCGCCTGAAGGGTGTAGCTTCCCCATTCACTTGAGACCAACCCAGATGACTAAACCCACTCCAACCGATCCCAACACTGATCTATTTTGTCTGTCCAAAAGGTTCTGGCCCCCAGCAGTCAATGGCAATATTGTTCTCGATTCTGTCCTTATCTTCATTAATTTCTGGTTGGTGGTTTGGAACATTTTTATTTTTCCATATATTGGGAATAATCATCCCAACTGACTTTCATATTTTTCAGAGGGGTAGGTATACCACCAACCAGATTTTGTTGATATTTTCTTGGTGTTGTGCCGCGCTTCAGAAACCTGGTCTCATGATGGCAGCTACATCTGGCATCGAGGTATGAAGGTCCCTTTGGGGCATCCTCCAGACAGAGGACCGCCATGGGTCTCTAGACCTCCCCCCATTGGATGGCATGAATGGTGTGAACCTCAAAAACCCACAGATTGCTACATCCAATCAAGATTTTACACCTACTAGGTGTCACTAACACATATGAGCACATTCCTGGGAATGTGATCCCAACAAAAAAGCCCAGGAGAAGACTATAAAATAGTGTGGCAATGCATCCATTAGACCTCCGATCCACTCCGGTTCTTTCTGACCATTGTTTCGCTCAAATGGAGCATCAACAACAGGAATCCATTTCTCAACCTCCAGCGCCTGTCTGAAGAAACACAACAACTGAAAAAGAGCCTCTTCAGCCCCCTAAAATTGGTATTTGTTTGTGGGACTCCCCTGAATTATCTCTGATCACATGCTGAAGACGATCATAAGAACGGCTCACTGGAAGATGCCCAAAAAATCGCCAGCATCGCCTGATCCATTCAGTGCCGCACGTTGGAAAAGGGGCCTGGATACCTGTGACCGGCCGAGCCATACGCATCTCATGACTCCAAATGCAGCATACTTTTTGAGGTGAAGCAATTCACGTGAAACAAGCAAACTCCACGAAACATGGTAGAATCCATGGTAGAATCAAACTTTTCCATCCCGTTTCGACTCCAGTCTTCTCCAATCCTTGACATCCGCTGTGTTGGCTCACAAGTGGAAGGCCAGGGGCTGCCTGGAGGCCGGCACTTGGGTGCGAACACATGATTGTCATGGGAATCATCCCAAGTTGGGCCTTTTTTCTCTTAAATGTCTTGAATTTTAAATATCATCCACTTAGTTTTTTTTGGTTTGGACTGGTTTGGACATATCATACATTACTGGTTGGTGGTTTGGAACATTTTTTTTCCATATATTGGGAATAATCATCCCAACTGACTTTCATATTTTTCAGAGGGGTAGGTATACCACCAACCAGATTATTATTAAGGGGCTACGCCCCCTGCCGCCGACCCCAGGAATTGTTGCCTGGGGCGGTGAGCGGGGGGCTGGAGAGAAAGCAATGATTGCTTGGCTTGTTTCAAATCCCAAAGTCTACCTGGCCCGCTTGCGCCAACGCGAAAGACGCCACCGTCACACAGCAATCCTAGAGGACGTTCGCAAGGAAATTCAGGAAATACACACAGCAAGACAAACTTCCACGCGAGCAGAAGCTCCCAAAACGGACACTGCCCACTCATCGAACCAGCAGCTTGCTGTCGGGCCTGACACGGTTACGCCACAACTGTACACATACATCTGCCCACACTGCGCCAAATCTGTGCAAAGCAAAGTGGCAACAGGACAAATCGATCACCGCCGAGGTGATGGTTGCGGCCACGAATTTCGCGTTGCAAATGGCTTGCTTGCAGGTCGCACGCATACGCACATGTGTCCGACATGCAGCGCGGTGGTGCGTTCAACAAAAGCTTCCGGCCGAATTCAAGTAACTCATCGCACTCCCAACGGAAAGCAGTGTCCCACCAACCACTGGCACGTGCATAGTTGATGGAACCCTCCGGGCAACGGCTCCCACTGCCTAACCTGCAAGAAAACTAGTTCTCTTCCAGCTGTCAACGCTCACAAACGGCGCCCTCGCCACAGCAAAACAGCAGGGCCCTGAAGGACGGACCGAGCCTCCGGGCAACGGCCCCCAGTGCCTAACGTTGCTTTCTGAACCTACAAGAAAACTATAGCTATAGCTCTCTTCCAGCCGTCAAGGCTCACAAACGACGCCCTCGCCACAGCAAAACAGCAGGGCCCTGAAGGACGGACCGAGCCTCCGGGCAACGGCTCCCACTGCCTAACGTATCTAACGTTGCTTTCTGAGCCTGCAAGAAAACTAGCTCTCTTCCAGCTGTCAAGGCTCACAAACGGCGCCCTCGCCACAGCAAAACAGCAGGGCCCTGAAGGACGGACCGAGCCTCCGGGCAACGGCTCCCACTGCCTAACGTTGCTTTCTGAACCTACAAGAAAACTAGCTCTCTTCCAGCCGTCAAGGTTCACAAACGGCGCCCTCGCCACAGCAAAACAGCAGGGCCCTGAAGGACGGACCGAGCCTCCGGGCAACGCCTCCCACTGCCTAACGTTGCTTTCTGAACCTACAAGAAAACTAGCTCTCTTCCAGCCGTCAAGGCTCACAAACGGCGCCCTCGCCACAGCAAAACAGCAGGGCCCTGAAGGACGGACCGAGCCTCCGGGCAACGGCTCCCAGTGCCTAACGTTGCCTTCTGAACCTAGAACCTACAAGAAAACTAGCTCTCTTCCAGCCGTCAAGGCTCACAAACGGCGCCTTCGCCACAGCAAAACAGCAGGGCCCTGAAGCACGGACCAAGCCTCCGGGCAACGGCTCCCAGTGCCTAACGTTGCCTTCTGAACCTAGAACCTACAAGAAAACTAGCTCTCTTCCAGCCGTCAAGGCTCACAAACGGCGCCTTCGCCACAGCAAAACAGCAGGGCCGTGAAGGACGGACCGAGCCTCCGGGCAACGGCCCCCAGTGCCTAACGTTGCTTTCTGAACCTACAAGAAAACTAGCTCTCTTCCAGCCGTCAAGGCTCACAAACGGCGCCTTCGCCACAGCAAAACAGCAGGGCCCTGAAGGACGGACCGAGCCTCCGGGCAACGGCTCCCAGTGCCTAACGTTGCCTTCTGAACCTAGAACCTACAAGAAAACTAGCTTTCTTCCAGCCGTCAAGGCTCACAAACGGCGCCTTCGCCACAGCAAAACAGCAGGGCCCTGAAGGACGGACCGAGCCTCCGGACCGAGCCTCCGGGCAACGGCCCCCAGTGCCTAACGTTGCTTTCTGAACCTACAAGAAAACTAGCTCTCTTCCAGCCGTCAAGGCTCACAAACGGCGCCTTCGCCACAGCAAAACAGCAGGACCCTGAAGGACGGACCGAGCCTCCGGGCAACGGCTCCTAGTGCCTAACGTTGCTTTCTGAACCTACAAGAAAACTAGCTCTCTTCCAGCCGTCAAGGCTCACAAACGGCACCTTCGCCACAGCAAAACAGCAGGGCCCTGAAGGACGGACCGAGCCTCCGGGCAACGGCTCCTAGTGCCTAACGTTGTCTTCTGAACCTACAAGAAAACTAGCTCTCTTCCAGCCGTCAAGGCTCACAAACGGCGCCTTCGCCACAGCAAAACAGCAGGGCCCTGAAGGACGGACCGAGCCTCCGGGCAACGGCTCCGAGTGCCTAACGTTGCCTTCTGAACCTAGAACCTACAAGAAAACTAGCTCTCTTCCAGCCGTCAAGGCTCACAAACGGCGCCTTCGCCACAGCAAAACAGCAGGGCCCTGAAGGACGGACCGAGCCTCCGGACCGAGCCTCCGGGCAACGGCCCCCAGTGCCTAACGTTGCTTTCTGAACCTACAAGAAAACTAGCTCTCTTCCAGCCGTCAAGGCTCACAAACGGCGCCTTCGCCACAGCAAAACAGCAGCGCCCTGAAGGACGGACCGAGCCTCCGGGCAACGGCTCCCAGTGCCTAACGTTGCCTTCTGAACCTACAAGAAAACTAGCTCTCTTCCAGCCGTCAAGGCTCACAAACGGCGCCTTCGCCACAGCAAAACAGCAGGGCCCTGAAGGACGGACCGAGCCTCCGGGCAACGGCTCCCACGTGGCCTCACCCTACGTTTTTCGCTTTCTGAACATACAAAGGAAAACTAGCTATCTTCCAGCCGTCAAGGCTCACAAAGGGCCTTCGCCACAGCAAAACAGCAGGGCCCTGAGACGGACCAAGCCTCCAGCAAACGGCTCCAGTGCCTAACGTTGCTTTCTGAACACCTACAAGAAAAACTAGCCCTTCCCAGCCGTCAAGGCTCACAAACGGCGCCTTCGCCACAGCAAAACAGCAGGGCCCTGAAGCACGGACCAAGCCTCCGGGCAACGGCTCCCAGTGCCTAACGTTGCCTTCTGAACCTAGAACCTACAAGAAAACTAGCTCTCTTCCAGCCGTCAAGGCTCACAAACGGCGCCTTCGCCACAGCAAAACAGCAGGGCCCTGAAGGACGGACCGAGCCTCCAGGCAACGGCTCCCAGTGCCTAACGTTGCTTTCTGAACCTACAAGAAAACTAGCTCTCTTCCAGCCGTCAAGGCTCACAAACGGCGCCCTCGCCACAGCAAACACAGCAGGCCCTGAAGGCGGACGAGCCTCCGGTCAACGGCTACCAGTGTGCCCTAACGTTGCCTCTGAACCTACAAAGAAAAAACTAGCTCTCTTCCAGCCGTCAAGGCTCACAAACGGCGCCTCCGCCACAGCAAAACAGCAGGGCCCTGAAGGACGGACCGAGCCTCCGGGCAACGGCTCCCACTGCCTAACGTGCTTTCTGAACCTACAAGAAAACTAGCTCTCTTCCAGCCGTCAAGGCTCACAAACGGCGCCCTCGCCACAGCAAAACAGCAGGGCCCTGAAGGACGGACCGAGCCTCCGGGCAACGGCTCCCAGTGCCTAACGTTGCCTTCTGAACCTAGAACCTACAAGAAAACTAGCTCTCTTCCAGCCGTCAAGGCTCACAAACGGCGCCTTCGCCACAGCAAAACAGCAGGGCCCTGAAGGACGGACCGGGCCTGCGGGCCACGGCCCCCAGTTCCTAACGTTGCTTTCTGAACCGACAAGAAAACTAGCTGTCTGAGCTGTGTTCCTGCCGCCAAAAGCCTCATCACAAACGGCGCCGCCGCCTGCCTAACGTTGCTTTCTGAATCGACAAGAAAACTAGCTCTCTGACCTGTCTTCCAGCCGCTTGTTGCTTCCTGGCTTCTTGTTTCTTGCTTCTTGCCGCTTGTTGCCTGTAATTGCTTCTTGCTTCTTGTTTCTTCTTTTTTGTTTTCTTGCTTCTTGCCCTTGCTGCTTGTAATGACTTCTTGGCCCTTGCTGCTGGTAATTCCTCCTCTGACGCGCTCCCCCTGCTGCAAGCGGGGTCGGCGGATTAACCATCAAAAAAACCATCATCATAAACCATCATCATTAACCATCATTAACAGTATATTAACCACAGATTCACAGTATATATACCCTCTGGTTATGTCAAAATAGCTATTGAAAATGACCATAGAAATAGTGGATTTACACATGAAAAATGGTGATTTTCCATAGCTATGTGAAATTACCAGAGGGTATATCTCCATTTTTCATTGGATAATCATTCGCAACGTCCAACTGAAGAGTCCGGTTGCTGGTTCCGCCGCGCGTCTCCCCAGGTGGCGCGGTTCCGCGACGCCGAAGATGGGCAGGTGCCGCGAGATTTGGGGGAGATGGGCCCTGGGGATAGCAACAAGACCTGGGGAGATCGGGGGATTCAAGCGATAAATTGTGATCATATTCATGGTTTATGTATTAAAAAAAACCATATGATAGATGGACATAAATAGTCACTATATGGAATAATATTATGGACATTCATATTCACTAGAATAATAGTCACTAGAATAGCCATGATCTCCTAGTTGTGATGGATGGATGAAAAACATCGCCGGAAAGTTTTCCCCCAGATAGGCGTGGGCAGATCTCCATCGACCGCATCGTGGCGCTGCGAAGCTCCGTGTTACCGTGGCTCGGTCGTTGGTTTTTTAAGGTACAGCAATTCGAAGCATCATTTACCGTCTGGTAATTTAACATAGCTATTGAGAATGCCCATTTATAGTGGATTTACCCATTAAGAATTGTGATTTTCCATAGCTATGTTAAATTACCAGAAGGTAAACAAATGGGGGATCTATAGAGGACTTAAGCAACAAACACTGGGAGTTTTTGAAGTTTTGACCCACAAAAAGTGGACATGTGAACCAGTAAAGAGTGGTTTTTGACCAACAGAACTGGAGGTAGAAGTCAGAAGAAGACGGTTTTTTCCAAAAATGGAGCTAACGCCAGACACATTGGAATCAAAACCAGTTTGAACGAACCAAGATAGGGGAGTTTACGCCATGTGTGTGAGCTCCCTGAGGAAGCTTCCGCCAGAGCAATTAGCCAGCAAACATGGGAGTAACGATAGGAGTCTCGTGACTGAACATGGGAATATATTCATATAGACATGTCTGATCATATCTGATCATATCTGATCATATCTGATCAGATAATGTATGTGAACGATAGATACTGTATACTTGCCAATGGATCATGTCACTATGGCCATGAGTTCACAACCCGTTGTTGTGATCACGAAAGTTTCCCCACGGCCTGAGGATTTATGTCATCATCCGTGCAGCTCTCAGATCTTTTGCGCACCGAAAATTCGTTTTTTTGTTTCGCGGGAATCAGAGCTGGTTTGATCATTTTTTGAAAGGGGACTCTCTTGTGGATCTGACAGTTGCACCAGTTGCACGTTGCAGATCGTTGCAGGGCCTGGCGGTGTGACCACAGCAGACGAGGTATTGCGAAGCCGCGGGTGGTGTTGAACAGTTTGAGTAGTTGAGTAGTTGATCAGGGCACTGAAGAAACATCTTTGAGGCCACCCAAAATCAGTCTCTTGGGGGATTTGACATTTTGACATATTTTGACCATGACCCACTTGAACGACTTGGAAGTTGATCCCAACCATAATTCCAAGCAGATACTGTACTAATTCAATGTGTGGCTGCTACTGTACAGTTTTAAGATACGGTACACATACGATCACATACCTCTCTGAGAGATTTTCGAGTATAGACACATAGTCGAATGTATGCATACCCCTATACCTATGCATGACAGATAATCATGTCCAAATATATTTTGGTTCACAGCGGGTGATGTTTCGTTTTCTTCCGGAGGTCTCTGAGGACGGCAATGACTTCCTCACGACCCGGATGTTTCTTGGAGCCAGAAAAAGTGGATGGACCTAAACTGTGGACCAAAATTGAATCAATTTCGGGACCCAGATGCTTTTTTGGTCTTTATGTTTGAGACATATGAAATATAATATAATTTAATATCATATATATATATATGTATATATATATATAAATCCCAAGGCAATAAAGAGGATTTGCGGAAGAGATGGGGCTTGGGTTAGCAGATCGATGTTTCCTGCAGCCGCTGGGAGCTGGGTGCCAAATCAAACGAGAGGACATCGCCATGGAAATAGAAGGACAATTAATAATGGGAATTTAACTGGGGATGTCCTTCTATTATGGGAATTAAATGGGATGTACAAACAATGGGAATGGAAGGATCATATGATAGAGCGGGGGATCTGGTACGTACATCTTTTCGGTTCTTTCTCATCTAAATTAGTTGCATGCTGATCATGCTGATAGCTGGAAAGTCCCCACAGGTATTTGGACATTCTTGTTTCCAGCCCCCCCTCAATATCCAAGGAATCCCCCTCTTGGTAAAATTGTGGCAACAGACTCAGATGTTTCCAGGAGAGAAGAAGAGGCATCTTCTGGAAGTTCCTACTTTTCCAGCACATTTTTGTGCATGTCCCCACCGTGCAATTTGCTTTCACTTAAGCCTATCAACCATTTTTGCGTTTTTTCAACTACCCTATTCCCCCTGAAAGTGGGCCGCCAGGTTCGGTGATCAGATCGCATTCCAGTCCATCGGCCCCTCGGCGAACGTAGAAAAACATCGAAATCTTGGTGGGTTTGTGACTGGGATAGCACACCTTTTTGCGGCTGGCAGAAATAGAACCTGGAAGTATGTCTTAATTGTTTTTTTGGGCTTATCATACAGATAGGTCTGCTTATCTTCAGATTTGGTGCCTCGAATCAATCTCCCAAGAAACTTCTCCGCCACAGCGATATTCAGGGTCCAAAAAAAGACCACAAAACCTAACTGCAGGACCCTCTACATATTGAATATTGTTGCTGCACAGTTTACTATATTGTTTTCAAACACGCCAGGCCAATGCTAGGGGTGGCCCAAGCCCAGATAAACGGCATTGGCAAAGGAAAGCAAACCCGGAAAAGAAAGAAAGAATCAACGGAAACAAAGAAACGATAAAGAGAAAAGAAGAAGAAACACATTGAATTGTTTAAATAAGCGAGCAAACATGGAACTGAAAGAAACAGACCTGGAAGGAGTCAAACCTTCAGAGACTGTTTTCAAAGTCTGCTGACTTGTGGCATAGGGCAACAGGTCCTTCTGTTGGAGGACAAGCTGTTCTGTCTTTGTTGGATCTCAAGCTGCCTGACAGCAAAATTGACCGATTTTGTGGCCACATTTCGATCCACAGTCAACTTCCAACAGTGCGCAAGGCGGAGAGTACCTGAGCACCGAAGGTGGCGAGGCGCCAGGGATCTTGAAGTGGCAATGACCTCTGATAATCAGCGAATCCATAGATGGTGCAGACCAACAGAAAATGGGGCATTCAAGAAGAACATACCCTCTGGTAATTTAACGTAGCTATTGAAAATGACCATTAATAGTGGATTTTCCCATTAAAAATGGTGATTTTCAATAGCTATGTTAAATTACCAGAGGGTAAGGGTGTTCAACCAACAGAACTCCCCCAAATTTATGTTGCTTAAACTGCTGGTAGCCTGGGAAGCAATCCACTGCGTCCACTGCACGCCTGGTGCCAGATCTGCACGCGGCGATATTGCAGCAGCAATGAACGCTTTACGGTGGAGAAACAGGCGGGAGTCACCGATGGCTGTGAGGATGGTCGTTGGGACATTGACCGTTAATTAACCATCGCAGTTTTGGGCTATCCAAATTTCACGCACAAGTGGACGTCCACGTGCATTTAGAAGCAATTCGCCGCAGGCATCATATGAACAGATAGAAAGTGGTGGAGATGCAGGTCCGCCGCTGCGTGCCGCGCGCAGGACACGCAGTACGCCTTTCGCTCTTGCAGCGGGCAGTACCTGAGCGTCAGCGATCGAGCACCCTTCGTGACTTTGGCTGGGGATCCCAGGTGGGGCCGGGAGAGGCAGGTGCCGGAGCTGGGGGATTTGAAATGGAAGACCATCAATAAATCCAACAGAACCAGCAGCAATATATCCAAGAATCACAATAAAATACAATGAATGAATCCTGTATTTTCGGGGAAATGGGAATAGAACGACCATGATCAACAAATTGTCCTCTCCAAGTGGCTGTGGGGGTCTGGCTATGGATCAAGTTATTGGAATAGTATGGTACGCCCTCATTTATTGCAAAGCCCCCATGGTTTATTCTGATTTCCCTCTTGAAATTGTGACCATTGAAGTATTCGCCTCATGTTCAGCCCAAATAAAGTAAACAGAAGTAAACTATACTAAAGAATAACACATCATACTAAAACATATCAACGCATGTTAAACACATTCCATCCATTGGAAGATGATCACTGGTGGATGGCTTGTCCCAGGCTGCGGCGCCTGGGGAGACGGAGGCGTTCCAACTCTTCTCGCTGATGATGTACGGCGTGAACGTCGCCTGGCCGACGAGGGGGTCTTCCGGGGAGGGGACGAGGGGACGAGGGGACGGAGTCCAACGTTTGAGACCTGTAAGCAAAGAAGCTTGGAGGAACTTGATGAACTTGTGATTTTTCACAGGGATTGAATCAAAGGTGGAATGAATGGGAATATGACTACAACGAGGATTCTCTGGCTTAACATCTGACATAGATACAATATCGGTTCAAGAGAATTGGTGCGATTCCCAGAACAGAACGCTTGGAGGGATGGATCCCCTGAACATGCCTGTATCACCAGCAAGAAAGGCCTGCCAGCCCCAAAAATCTGGGGATAGACAGATAGACGGATAGACCCCCAAGAAGAAAAATCACCAGTAGCAGAGGAGCTCCTACACACATGGGGACATATCAGATATTCAACAGCTGCAGCCCCAGGCATGACCAAAAATCCAATTTTCGGTTGGATGATTTACAGCCCCACAAACGACTTCTGTAGAAACAACTGTAGAAACAATGGTTGTAAGACAAGGGACCATCAATTTCATGACTTCGAGCCAGCTTTGAGGTGTTCATTACGAACATTTATGATATTTATATGACATTTATGAAGTGCCCAAATAGTCTCAGACCTCTGGGTGAAGGGACACTTTACAGGAGACCCCTTTATTTGGAGGCAACAACCATGGCTTTCCTGTGCCATGGGACCTGAGGTCGGTCAGCAGCTGGAGATGTTGGATAGGCGGTTTGGGGATGCTAAACTACGAGTTTGGTTCTGAAAATGGGGGACACCATGAAATGGCCATTCTAAGTGGGTATGGATCAATACCTATGAAAATACAATTTTTAGTGGGATGAACATCCATTTACCAGCTATTTTGATTTCCACCAGGGGTATAGGGTTTTGACACACTGCCAAATGGGGAAAATGCTAACCCATCCATTCTAGAGGTGCCTTATTCTCAGACAAACCCATTTAGGGCTGCAGAAAGCTAGTTAGATCCAGCCGCGAATGTAAGATGATTTTTCTGTATCTGAGATGGATTTTGTGGATAGATTTCTGTAAATTGCTACGGATTATGAAAGTCCAGCGGCTGCTCAAGTTGGAATATAAATGCAACAAATGGGCCCATCCCAAAGTACCACCTCCAAAAACTGGCGGCTCAAGCTTGGCATAGCTCACCCAAACGGGTAGCTGCTGACGGACATGACCATGGCATCAGGTGACTTGATTGCTTGTCCCTAGGTTTCAAGACCAATTTTCTTCCAGATAGACATGAAAAAAATTACTGTAACTACACATCACTAATTAGACATCCATGAGATCCAAAGCGTAATTTTTGATGGAAAAAGCCCATCCAAACAAATAACTCCACCAGACCAGGGGTTCCAGAAATTCCAGCCAACTCTTCACTTTCAAAAGGGGTCCCATTTGTTTTGCCGGACGGTCCCGGAGCAGTCGAACAAGCGGAAGGCCTGGCATGGCCTGGGTCACAGAGATTTGGGTGACTTGATGGCTTGGAAACTTTGCCAAACCTGGTCTGGTTGGATGTGACAGACAAGTTTTGTTTGGAGTTCCCCAAGTTTGCTTGTTTTCTTGGCAGGTCGCCACTGCAATGCGGGAAGTTGCAGGTGCAGATGGGAAAAATGCTTGGATCTTCCCCAGGGTCAAAAACCGATCTCTGTGGGATCTTCAAATCATCGAAAACATGTCATGTTGAATGGGGAAGCCAATGGGTTTTTGGGCATGATGGCTGATAAATGTGCTTCAGCAAAAAACGGATGACCTTGGGCAATTGAGATGCTGAGACAATACTATGGCAACCTCAAAAAGATGGAAACAGTATGAACAAGTAGCTTTTCCTTTCTCATTGAACCACACCTTTTCCCGGCTGGATGAGTGCCTTGAAGCCTCGGGGAGAGGCCTGGCTGTTTGGCTGGCGTCACTGACGTCGGCTGCGACTGAGGCGCGTTCTGGGTTGGCAAGATGTCGTGGAATTGATGGGCCCCCTGAGAATTGGAGGCGTTTCCAACATTTTGCAGCCCATATTGGGATCACCATGGGGTTCGGAACCCTGGGAAAAGGGTGGAACCCAGCAAACTGGTAGAAGATGTGCGTGGATGACTGTTCAGGGCACCACCTCGGAGCCCTTCAACTGCGACTGGGGGCGACACAACTGGCACATGGGTTGGTCGAACCCCAAGAAGATCTACTGCTGCCGCTAGGATCAAATGGCTGGTGATGGGGTTGGATTGGGGAGGAGTTGTTTGTTGAGGAACTGGGTGGAACTGGGTGGTGGTTCCAAATATCGTTTATTCTGTTTATTTTGCACCTCTACGTACTTGAATGTATTTGAGATGAGCTACACAAGTGTCCAATATATTTATATATATATATATTATTATATATATAATGTATTTATATATAAACATATAATATATTTATAAACTATATTATAGAGATATTTTTTTTTTGGGCATGGATTGAACATGATAGAACCCTAAGCACGATGTTGGTGAAGTCACCACTATTTTGCAGAGAAGCTGCCTAGCGGCCTAGCTAGATTCTTGATCAGCGCCCCAGACACCTATCTGCTTAAGGGAGTTGCACTGATTGGTTCATTTGGAATTTATGATGAATTATCATTATCCCGAATTATCCCAATTAAACCACCATCGAATCATTGTATCCCCATGAAACCGCCGTGAATTTCCCAATTTTTAGTGGGTAAATCCCTGTTTTCATTTTACCCCATGATTTTTGGCATTTTCCAAGTGGTTTTGCCGGCTTTCCCGGCCTTGAGGTCAGCACCACCAGATCGGCTGCGAGGACCACGCCCCTGCGCAGATCGTGAAGGTCACGCAAGATGGGTATGGGTGGGTACCCCAAAAAACCCAGGATTGCTGTGGAAAACCTGGGTTTGGGTCAAATGTTGGGTACAACTGAGATTAGATGCTCAATAATTACAGTGCAATTCTGGGTTGTGTGGGTCTGAAGTGTTGATACACAAGTGCATTTGTGGGTTGTGTTTGGCAGAACATGCACCACGATGATTGATCCGGTCTGCGCAGTATGTGGGTTTTCCTATGGTTTTTTCCCACTCCGTGGCTGTTCAGGGCACCTCGGAGCCCTTCAACTGCGACTGGGGGCGACACAACTGGCACATGGGTTGGTCGAACCCCAAAAAGATCTACTGCTGCCGCTAGGATCAAATGGCTGGTGAGGGGGTTGGATTGGGGAGGAGTTGTTTGTTGAGGAACTGGGTGGAACTGGGTGGTGGTTCCAAATATCGTTTATTCTGTATATTTTGCACCTCCACGTACTTGAATGTATTTGAGATGAGCTACACAAGTGTCCAAAGTATAGTATTTATATATATATATATGTATATTTATACATTTTTGTTTTTTTTGGGCATGGATTGAACATGATAGAACCCCAAGCACGATGTTGGTGAAGTCTCCAGTATTTTGCAGAGAAGCTGCCCAGCGGCCTAGCTCCTATCCGCTTAAGGGAGATCCCCATGAAACCGCCGTGAAATTCCCAATTTTTAGTGGGTAAATCCCTGTTTTCATTGTACCCCATGATTTTCGGCATTTTCCAAGTGGTTTTTGTGCCGGCTTTCCCGGCCTTGAGGTCAGCACCACCAGATCGGCTGCGAGGACCACGCCCCTGCGCAGATCGTGAAGGTCACGCAAGATGGGTATGGGTGGGTACCCCAAAAAACCCAGGATTGCTGTGGAAAACCTGGGTTTGGGTCAAATGTTGGGTACAACTGAGATTAGATGCTCAATAATTACAGTGCAATTCTGGGTTGTGTGGGTCTGAAGTGTTGATACACAATTGCATTTGTGGGTTGTGTTTGGCAGAACATGCGCCACGATGATTGATCCGGTCTGCGCAGTATGTGGGTTTTCCTATGGTTTTTTCCCATTCCGTGGCTGTTCAGGGCACCTCGGAGCCCTTCAACTGCGACTGGGGGCGACACAACTGGCACATGGGTTGGTCGAACCCCAAGAAGATCTACTGCTGCCGCTAGGATCAAATGGCTGGTGAGGGGGTTGGATTGGGAGGAGTTGTTTGTTGAGGAACTGGGTGGTGGTTCCAAATATCGTTTATTCTGTTTATTTTGCACCTCTACGTACTTGAATGTATTTGAGATGAGCTACACAAGTGTCCAAAGTATAGTATTTATATATATATATATATGTATATTTATACATTTTTGCTTTTTTTGGGCATGGATTGAACATGATAGAACCCCAAGCACGATGTTGGTGAAGTCTCCAGTATTTTGCAGAGAAGCTGCCCAGCGGCCTAGCTCCTATCCGCTTAAGGGAGATCCCCATGAAACCGCCGTGAATTTCCCAATTTTTAGTGGGTAAATCCCTGTTTTCATTTTACCCCATGATTTTTGGCATTTTCCAAGTGGTTTTGCCGGCTTTCCCGGCCTTGAGGTCAGCACCACCAGATCGGCTGCGAGGACCACGCCCCTGCGCAGATCGTGAAGGTCACGCAAGATGGGTATGGGTGGGTACCCCAAAAAGCCCAGGATTGCTGTGGAAAACCTGGGTTTGGGTCAAATGTTGGGTACAACTGAAATTAGATGCTCAATAATTACAGTGCAATTTTGGGTTGTGTGGGTCTGAAGTGTTGATCAAAAGTGGAAACAACATGGACCAAGGCGAGGATTTAAGAGCAAACATGGGGGTTCAATTGAGCGAACGTCAGGACGTTGACCGAGAAAAAGGTGGAAGGTTTTCTTGAAACCTGGTGTATCATCCAAAATGTTCCAAAATATGACAAAACAGCCTCCAAATTCGACGGTTTAGTTGACCAGCCACTTGTTGTCGCATTCCCTTTTTGAGCGACGGGCATATTCAGGTCCACATAGGTCCACGCTCGTGAGCATTTAACCATTTCGATCCACAAATCCAGATTCAGCTTTGGGGTGTATCCAACAATAAGAAATAGCAACGTCGAACAAGATAGATAGCAAACTCAATCCCTGTTCCGAAATAGCGAGAGTCTATGCTTTTCGAAGTTTTTCCAGATTTTGATCGTCTAGTTTTCATGACCAAGATAGCACAAAGCCCACCTTGGGGGGTGTCAGGAGCCGGCCTCCAATAGCAGCCACGCCATCCCTCCCTGGTGGGTGGTGGCTGGCGTCCACCCCGATGGCCCCGAGACGGACTATGGTGCCTGGGCCTGGAA